GTGAGTATGCCTGTTTTCCTAAAGTCTCCATTTCTGCTGCTGGTGAATGAAGACCCGCTGCTGCTCACATATGGACCACATTCCTTCACTCCAGGCAAACACAGTCCACTTCCTGTTTTAGTAGGCCGGCCACCCGGCGTAACACTGATACACTTTCACTCGCTCTCTTGGGCTGAACGACACACTCTTATTCGGCAAGGCCTTTTTATTTCTTAAAGGGACAGTTCAGCCAAAAAGGACAATTCTGCCCTCATTTACTCGCGTGTTTCAGAGCTTTAGGACTTGCTTTCTTCTGTTGAACACGTAAGAAGATATTCAGAAAAATGTTGGAAGCCTGTAACCATTGACTTCCGTAGTATTTGTTTTTCCTACTATGGATGATTTCGGAGCTGGGTTGGGGCTGGAAGGGCATCCGCTGTGTAAAACATATGCTCGAGTAGTTGGTGGTTCATTTCACTGTGGCGACCCCTGATGAATAAAGAGACAAAGCCTGAGGAAAATGAATGGAAGTCAATGCAGTAATTTTAATTTTTGGGTGAACTGTCCCTTTAAGAAATCTGCATGTGTAAATTCTCATAGCATCCCATGTGAAACCTGTAACCATTGACATAGTAGGAAAAACAAATCCTATGGAAGTCAATGGTTACAGGTTTCCAGCTTTCTTCAAAATTTCTTCTTTTGTGTTCCACTGAAGACATAAACTCATAAAGGTTTGGAACCACTCAAGGGTGAGTTAGTTTTGATTTTGAAATGAACTGTCCTTTTAATAAATATGCATGTGTAAATTCTGATAGTGTCTGATTTCATCGTCCATCGTTCTTAATCGATAATTCACCCCCCAAAAAACTCACTATTTACTCTCTCTCTCTCTCTCTCTCTCTCTCTCTCTCTCTCTCTCTCTCTCTCAAGCAGATGTGAACCTTTATGACTTTGTCTTCTGTTGAACAAAAAAAAAGTTACTTGGAAAAATGATTGAAAGCTGTAACCATTGACTTTCATGGTATTTTTTTCCTACTATGTTAGTTGTTGGTTACAGCTTTCTTTAAAATAGAAAAATCTTCAATGTTTCAACTCATAAAGGTTTGGAAACGCTGGAGGGTGACTAAATAGTGAGTTAGTTTTCATTTTTGGGTGAACTGTCCCTTTAAGAAATCTGCATGGGTAAATTCTGATCGTATCCGCATGTCCTCGTGCAGCGCTTTAAAGGGATAGTTCACCAATAAATAATAAATAAGTAAAATACTTCATATTTACTCTCTCTTAAGTGGTTGAAAACCTTTTATTGCGCACAATAAAGATGCTTTAAAGAAACTACTCAGGGGATACTCAGTTAACTTAGTGTCTGATTTCATCTTGCAGCGTTCCTGATGGCATAGTTCACAAAAAAAAAAACCTTTAGGACTTTTTTCTGTTAAACACAAAAGAAGAGAGTTGGAAAAATGTTGGAAGTCTCTAACCATTGATTTGTTTTTTTCCTACTATTGAGGTCAATGGTTACAGCTTTCTTCAAAATAACATAAATGTCAGTGTTTAAACTCAAAAAGGTTTGGAACCAGTCGAGGGTGAGTTATTTTTCATTATTTTGGGTGAACTGTCCCTTTAAGAAATCTGCATGGTAAATTCTGATCGTATCTGATTTCATCTTGCAGTATTCTTAAAGGGATGGTTCACCAAAAGAAAAAATCACTATTTACTCCCTGTCAAGTGGTAGCGAACATTTAAGGCGTTCTTTCTTCTGTCAAACACAAAAGAAGATATTTGGAAAAATTTTGGAGCCCAGTAACCATTGACTTTCATTTTTTCCTACTGTGGAAGTCCATGGTTACAGCTTTCTTAAAAATAGAAAAATCTTTAATGTTTATACTCCACAAGCCACTGGAGGGTGACTATAGTGAGTTAGTTTTCATTTTTAGGTGAACTGTCCCTTTAAGAAATGTGCATGGGTAAATTCTGATCGTATCCCACATGCTCATGCTGCATTCTTAAAGGGATAGTTCACCCTATAAATAAAATAAAACACTCGATATTTACTCTCTCTCTCTCTCTCTCTCTCTCTCTCTCTTAAGTGTTTGTGAAATATTATGAGTTTCCCTTTTTCATTGAGCATCAGTAAAGATATCTTGAAGAAAACCTGTGACCACTGACTTACATAGGAAAAACAAACACTATGGAAGTCAACGGTTTCCAGCATTCTTCAAAATATCTTCATTTGTGTTGAACACAAGACCGGTTTAAAACAAGTGAAGTGAGAGTAAATGATGATCATTTTGGGTGAACTGTGCCTTTAATGCTGCAGTACAGCTCTTCTGCAGGTTCCTCATGTTGGTTTGTTTGAATCGGAGTGTTTATTATGGCTGACTGTGAAGGGCCGGCTGGCGGATCTCCATCAGGCATGCTTTTGTTTGAGAGATGCGGGCTTTGGAGAAGGTTTTGAAATCATGTGGTTTGTGTGTCTGATTGATGTAAACCATATGGTCAGATAAAAAGCGAGGATAAGAAATCAAAAAGGAGATTGTGTGAAGGTTAATTTAGCAAATGAAGACTTGAAGTGTCATCATGCAAAAACAAAAGACTGACGACAGTCAAACAATTAAAATTGAGACTGGAAAAATCGGAGATTTGCGATATTGTTGAGTATTGCAATATAGATATTGCTTACAATATAATATTAGACTAGACAAATGCTATTTTCAGATCTAATTCAGATAAAAAAAACTGCCAAGGTGCAAACCAGCGCGATCTCACGGCGATTCAGAACTTTTAGATTTAGTGGCTAACTCGTATGAATTCGTACGATCTTTCATTCATTCATTCATTTTCCTTTCGGCTCAGTCCCTTTGTTAATCTGGGGTCGCCACAGCGGAATGAACCACCAACATATCTAGCACATGTTTTACGCAGCGGATGAACATTCCAGCTGCAACCCATCTCTGGGAAACACCCATAAACACTCATTTACACTCATACACTATGGCCAATTTAGCTTTCCCAGTTCCCCTATAGCGCATGTGTTTGGACTGTGGGGGAAACCGGAGCACCCGGAGGAAACCCACACCAACACTGGGAGAACATGCACACAAAAACGCCAACTGGGACTCGAACAAGCGGCCTTCTTTCTGTGAAGCCAGAGTGCTAACCACTGTGCCACCATGCTGCCTCAACTCTGACAGTTTCCACACTGAATGTTTTGTTTAATAAGGAAAGTCATTGATTGATGTGTTGTTTTGTTGTCATGTTTAGAGGACACAGGGACGTATTTCCCCAGTGTGAAGCGCTGTCCCGGCCGGTACCTGCAGCCCTGTTCTGACACGGTCAGGAGATGGTTGAGGAGCATCAAAAACAGCGGCAAAATCCTGCTGCTCATCACCAGCTCACACTCCGACTACTGCAGGCTGGTGTGCGAGCACATACTCGGGTCAGTTTCACACACAAAACACAGCCCGGTTACGTTATTTCTACTGTGCATCCACTCTCCGAGAATAAAGCCCTGCGAATAACATCTGGTTTCTGCAGATCGGACTTTGAGGAGCTGTTTGACGTCATTATTACGAACGCTCTGAAGCCTGGGTTTTTCTCTCTGGTTCCTCAGCAAAGGCCTTTCCGAACACTGGGTGAGTAGCAGAGGCTATACTCTTCTTTGTTTAGGTTTGTTCCTCTTTGGTTAGATGGCGAGGTTACACTTCGGTAACAGCGTGAGGTCATCACACAGAGCGATTAGTATTTTTAGAACCACACATATAAACAAACCCCATCAACATCATTCATATACGGATGTCCTATTTTGACTAGGATATTTGACCTACAGTTTTGCAAGATACTAAGATACACCCATGCCCTTTTCTAAACCCAACCAATAGTGTTTTCAAAAGCACAGATTGACTCGCCCACTCACTTCCCTAAACCCAACCGGCAGTGTTTTCAAAAGCAATCCAGAATAAGAAACGATCTTGCGGCAGCCTGATTTTTACCATGTTTTGACCACACTCTTACCATGTTATTTTCTGTTTTATCTTTTGGCTTTTGCCTGTTTTCTGGAACTTTTCCGGACTCGAACCTCATCATTGTGGTCAACTCTGCTCCACGCCACAAGTCTGCCGATGTACACGCAAGCCACTGAACAAACTGGTAACAGCGGAAAAGCTAGTCTATATGGAGTTAAGCGGTCAGCTGGTAGCGCAAAAAATAAACAGAAGGCGTTTCGTTACTAGCATTCGCATTGAAGAAGAAATACAGCCATACGTACCTCTGGCTACATATTTCACGATCTCCTGAAGTGAAGTTTATTTATAAACTAATTTCAAGAGGATCATGTGCTTATGATTGATCACAGCCGGTCCTGCATTATTCAATTTATGATTCACCAATCAGACGATTCCTAATCCACTTTAAATACTCTAAGCTCAATATCAGCCATATTTGTTTTGAAGAATCCCCCCTCAACCTCTACTCCTCCCCCTTTTCTAGATGGGCGGCACGGTGGCCCAGTGGTTAGCACTGTTGCCTCACAGCAAGAACGTCACAGGTTCTAGCCTTTACAAAGCCAGTCGACGTTTCTGTGCGGAGTTTACACATTCTCCCCATGCTCACTTGGGTTTCCCCCGGGTTCCCCGGTTTCCTCCCACCGTCCAAAAACATGCAGATTAAGTTAATTGACTAATCCAGCACCATAGACATGCTGCTAGTCAGTAGATATCTCTTAAGAGCGATCACTGTCTGTTCATTAGCTACTACAGCAGGGGAGTTCTCCACATCTACCACAGCTCAAACTCCCCTCTCGCCCTGCAATCGGGAGGGAGCCCCGAGCTCGAGGATTTTACGAGTTCAGGGCATCATGCCAAACACGCTTTATAATCAGTCATCAGCTGAGGGTGAACTCTTGAAGTTAACTTAATGGATTTGTGTTGGGGTAACAGTATTTTTCAGCTTAAAGCTTCGTTTACCATTATGATGTAACAGAGATTACAAATGAATACAGCACATTCTCATCTCCGTCTTAATAGTGGACGATGTTGAAGATAGCGAAGGGCTGCCGTCTCTGGAAAAGCCTGGATGGTATTCACAGGGCAACTGGCCTCATCTACACGAGCTACTGAAGACCATGACCAACAAAGCAGAGCCCAAGGTACGAGAGGACTACTTTATAGACTACTGAAAATGCTCTGTGTGGAGTTTCACTGCAGAAAATGCTTTACTTACTTAGATTATTTGTCTTGTTTCTAGTCCAAACATCGACAAATTCTTAAATCAAGAAGAAGTTTCTAGAAAAGCAAAACATTTAGTCTTGTTGTGAGATATAATATGCCAAAGTGAAGCGAGTTTTACCTTAAACTAACTAAATAAAGAAGGTAAACGAAGGTTTCAGTGGATTTTGAGCAACATGAGGTTGAGCAGAAATTAAATATTTGTGTGAACTAAGCCTTTACTTGTACCGGGTCGGACCCCCTTTTGCCTTCGGATCTGCCTTAATCCTTGCTGGCAGAGATTCAACAAGCTACTGGAATATCCCTCAGAGATTTTGCTCCATATTGTCATGATAGCATCACACAGTTGCTGCAGATTTGTCGGCTGCACATCCATGATGCCAATCTCCCGTTCCACCACATCCCAAAGCTGCTCTATTGGATTGAGCTCTGGTGACTGTGGAGGCCATTTGAGTACAGTGAACTCATCGTCACGTTCACCAGTCTGAGATGGTTGAGCTTTATGACATGGTGCGTCCCTTTAGGACGTGTTGTGTGTTCAGAGATGCTCTTCTGCAGAGCTCGGTTGTAGCGAGTGCTTATTTGAGTTACTGTTGCCTTTCTATCAGCTGGAACCAGTCTGGCCATTCTCCTCTGACCATCAACAAGGCATTTGCGCCGACAGAACTGCCGCTCACTGGATATCTCCTCTTTGTCGGAGCATTCTCTGTAAACCCTAGAGATGGTTGTGCGTGAAAATCCCAGTAGATCAGCAGTTTCTGAAATACTCAGAGCAGCCAATGTTCAAAGTCACTTAAATCCCCTTTCTTCCCTATTCTGATGCTCACTTTGAGCTGCAGCAGATCGTCTTGACCATGTCTACATGCCTAAATGCAGTGAGCTGCTGCCATGTGATTGGCTGATTAGACATTTGTTTCAACAAGGAGTTGGACAGGTGTACCTAATAAAGTGGCCAGTTAGCGTATGTGCAAATAGACTATACTCCATACATTAACCAGTATTTAAAATGATTGTAGCTGTTTAGTAGCACATTCCCTTATGCTTTAAGCATTGCTGCTCAAAGAAATGTAGTAATGTATAAGAAATATTTCTGTAAATGTGTGTGTGTGTGTGTGTGTGTGTGTGTTATCTGATGCAGGTGGTGTATTTCGGAGACAGCATGCGCTCGGACATGTTCCCGGCCTGCAGCTTTGCGAAGTGGGAGACGGTGATGATTGTGGAGGAGATGGAGGGAGAGGGCGTCCCACGAGCGGACGGCTGTCCCAGTAACAGCAGCAGTGGCGGCCCGAGCGAAGGGCCGGTGGAGAAAAAGGCCAAGTTTGAGGTGAGACTGAAAAAGCTCTTTCGGTTTAGCCAAGCTCAGGATCTTATTCCACATTCATATGTCTATATGTGGCACAGACACACCTCTGTGACCATTTAAAGCGGCTACTATGTCTGGAAGACTTGATTCTGATTGGTCAGTTGCAACATTCCTAGGGATGTTATTCCCGGTTAACAACCGCTAAATAACGCAGGCTCATCTGGCAACTGAGAATCATATTTGACAAAGGTTTTGTCGCCAGATAATAAACTTTTAATCCATTATGATTAAACTCTATATTAAATAGGGATTACCTGAGCTAATATTGATATCGGAAGTAAGTCCGATATCAGTCCAAAAACTCTATCGAACTGCGTTAAAAATAGGCAGTCCGTTCCGTTCTTAACTCTGATACAGCTATTCTATTGAGCAGCGCCCAGAGCCAGCATGCAAAGCCCATGTGATCACAACACTCCTTGCTAGCAAAGTCCCTTAAAGATTTAACATGCTCTTCTCAAGTTATGGTGTATTACGATAGAAATCTATTGTGCCGGTAGCACATCAACAACGGCACATGTCGACTGGTTAATTTACTTTATTATTATTTATTAACTAAAGCGATACATTCCACTCAACGAAATGGGTAAAAGTAAAGTGTTCATGATTTGTACTGATTATTGTATCGGAATTGTATCCGTATCGGTTCGCACTGAAGGCTGCAATATCGGTATCATATCGGAATGTAATATGTTGTATCGGGACGTCCCTAATATTAAACTATAATCCCAATATTGCATATTCTGCGATGTGACTATTGCGGATGCACACGTTGAGATATCGATGCTGAAACCATAGATTGTGCAGCCCTAATTTGAATATAGGTTAGCTGTCTTGTTTTCTGTCCTTGGCCAAAAACGTGCTCTCACATTGTTTATATTGATCAAAATCAATATTAAAACAAATGTAAACAGAATAGATTGTTGTGTGTTCTGTGATATGCTGTAATAAATTTGAACGTCATAGTTTTTCTTATTATTTACCATGTTTATGTAGACATTAGAAACATTAGGTCATGTAAATGTTCTTGAAAGTTCTGGAAAAGTCTTGGAGTTTTAGTTGTTAAAATGTGTATGAACCCTTTGAATTTCTTTTGTCTTGGCTGTAATGTATTTTTTTCTAGTTATTTTGTTCGTTTGCTTAGTACGTAATTAGGTTAACCAGGCGGATTAGGTTAATTAGACAACTTATTGGTGATTTGTAGTCTCTAAAAGAAACAAATATGATAGGAAATACTGTGGAAAATGTTCTTGCTCTGTTAAATCTACTTGAATCTGGATCTGAAAATGCTTACATCTTTAAAGGAGGGCTGATGATTCAGCCTTCAGCTGTATACAGTGTGTATTTCATCAGAAGTCTGAGCTACAGCTGCACAGACGCACCGCTGGGAGGAAGAGCAGTAAGCGGGAAAGAGGAAGTTGACAGGAAATGTAGTCAGTGCTCTTCTGAAAATGTGCTTATACAGCAGAAATGGCTTTTCTAGGGAAGCGCAGATTCTTGGAGCACTTTAACGTCAGCGCTTACATCATTTACAGCATCATTTACACGCCACTACTGCGCTCTCCTTATTTTGTGCATTAGTCATTTGACATCATTCATTTGTGTTTCAAAAGGCAGGTCTGACTAATGCGCTTCTCCAGTTCATTATATTTGTGCATATACATTAGTCAGTACTGAAGCCAAATCTGGAGCTCATCTAACAAAATAACTTACAATAATGGTCCAAAAACCGGTCAGCCAAATGTATATGTTAGAGAAAAATATTAAATACACATTTAAAAAAGAGGAAAAATCTAAAAATTGGGAAATTTAGTTTGAATGTTTTTAGGTTGTAATTTTTTTAGCAAATTTTTGCTTGAATTTAATTGTATTATTTTTCAATTTCTAAATATGTCTGATGACTAAAATATTATTGTAATAAATATATCTGTTTAATAAATCTGTTTTGTTTAAATGCGCCAAAACACATCGCCTATTCACTGAGAAATGGAGTAAAATCAGGTACTGACGAGTTGATGAGAATCAGAGCAGAGCTCATTAATATTCATAACCACTCCAAATATGGTCAAACCCGAGCTTTTGATTCTAGGGGCCATTTTTCAGTTTGTAAATGAGCATATAAAAGCATTTCAACTTACCTAAGCCACATATTTACTGTGTAGATATCAGAGATCTTGTTAAATCAATCCACTATATGCCACATTTAAAAATCAAGAAATCTCAGATGTTGATTAGGACAAAAACTCCTTTTAATATTGAGCATATTCTTTCTATTGTGTGTGTGTGGTTGCAGTTAGAACATGACTTAAATCAGCCTTTTTTGATGTTGTCAATCTGGCAACCAGCTCTTGTGTGTGTTTTGAACCAGGAGTGCAATACCTAGTTCAACCACTGGGTGTCAAACTAACCTGTACCTTTTGTTTCTTTTATTTAACCATCAAGTTTGGGTACCTTTTTTGACCGGAAATGACATGGTTTCCTCCAAAATATAATAAGACTGTGTACAAGAGCCATCATTGTGAAAAAAAAAATTCTTTCTTTAAGTAACTTTAAAAGTCAGAATTGTCAGGGTGTGTGGATAGTCATGGACTTGACTGTAAATAATTTATTGACTGGCCTTTTATTCATTCAGTCTTTCTTAATCAATCTTTCTCTTAGGATCAGGGAATGAAATCTCCGTCAGATTCATCAAAGCAGTGGGGCTCTTATTTTGTGGATGTGCAGAAGACTGAAGGAGAGGAAACACAGAAGCTCACCTGGTGCTGCCACAGCATCCACACATACAGCACCATGGCCATACCAAGCATCGAGGCGATAGCAGGTACAGTCCACTTCAATTCCTCCTTATCTCTATAGCACTGTTTACAATGGAGATTGTGTCAAAGAAGCTTAACATAGATGGAGAAAAGTAGGCACTGATTTAGTCCATGCTGGATGAGTTGGCGGTTCATTCCATTGTGGCGACCCCAGATTAATAAAGGGACTAAGCTGAAAAGAAAATGAATGAATGAATAGGTGTTGTGATCGCCAGCTGTACTTTCTCCGCTCAATATTACTTCCGGTATTCATACCGAACTAAAACTCTAATCAACTTCCAAAGCTGACATTAATCCGGACACACAAACACAGCTGAAACTCATGAATACTGATTACATGGACTATATATACACCACTTACTTTCACGGGCACTTTGCTGAGTCTTGTTTATCTGCTAATGTTAGAAAATAGGAATCAATTTTTAAATATTTTTTGTTTCTTTTTCTTTTAATCAAACAATTATTTGTAAGGGTCATATATTAACTGAACGTCTACTGTGGTGTGTGAGTGCTGTGCATACTAATTAGCATTTTTGCAGAAGTAGATAAATGCAGGTTCAAAATTAAATTGAGCTCTGCAGAAACTTCCTGTCTGAAGAAATGTGTTAAAACTGAACAGAGCACAAAAAGTTGTATGCTTTTATTGTTGTGCAGAGAATTCGTAGAAAAAGAGGAAGTATGTCTGGGGTGCGGCCAATGGAGGACTGAACGAGGACTGACTAATGACGAATTTCACTAAACTCCGCCTGTTAAAATCAGCTGCCTATATAAGTTGAAGTCAGGAAAAGAAAGTTGTTGCGCACTTCTGCATTGCATTGAGGATAACAGAATTCTGTGAATCGAATTATTTATTTGTATACAATAAATTGATTCGATTTTTGACATTGAAGAAAAACCTCTCCTGACCTTTTTTCTTGAACATGCATGGAATTGATTGAATATTCCAACATCACAAAATGTTTTCCCTGGTCTAGTCTTCCAGTGTTAAAACCTTTATCTTGTTTACGTTTTGGATTCTTTGCCATCTACCCTGACCTTTTGCCTGTGTTTTGACTACGTATTTGGGATTACCTTTATGGTCCTGTTTGCTCCTATTTTTGACCATTGCCTGCATGATTTTCAATAAACTGCATGTGGATCTGCACGTCTGTTGCCAGCATCCTAGATCAGTTGCAATTAAATAATGAAAGTCCTCATGAGGTTAAAATAACGTTGTTTAGATGTTAGCATCAGTATGTTAGTCTTGAGAATATCTATAAGCTAAAAAACTATTTAGTTTTGTGAGCTACATTCACATTTAAAAGATATATGCATGTAAAGTTTGCCGTGACTTCAGACCTAAATGGATGCATTTTTGGTCGTCATTTTGTACTTCAGTTTGTCATCAAATCTTTCAACCAATCAAATGCTCTCTAGTGTCTGACATGCCCCGCCCCCTTCTTCTCATTGGCTGTTCATTTGATGCAGTTGAGCTCAACCAGTCTTACCAGCTGAGCTGAGAAAACAAAACACTATTGGCTGTTTTTCAAAAAAGGGGAGGAGCTACTAGATACCCCTCCCTCTTTTTATGTCGAAATTACGTCACAGATCGATCAAAAACAGCACATTTCAAAGCACTTCACGGGAACTTTAAGTGTATATTTAAGTGTTTGTGACACCTCCCCCTCCGTCTCTTTTCCAGATCTTCCTCTAGACTTTAAGTTCCAGCGATTTTCCTCAGAGAAGCCGATCACGACAGGATATTACCCCAGACCTCCAGACTCGCTGCTGAAACGGGAAGAGAACTTGTCCTGAAGCCTGGCGTCCGTCTGCGCTGACAGGGAGATTGTTTCACATTTCCCATCTTCACCAGAGCCATCCATTTGTCCAGTCAGTGATACAGCTGTGTGAATGTACCAGAGCATTGTCTGTGTGCCTCCTCCTCACCTCTTCCCGGATCACCGCGGTATTACACAGTCTGAAGTGGTGTCTGTATACGGTACATGCTGAATAGGAAGTCACAGTGTATTGTGTCTCATCCAGCGCTCACTACCATTAAACTACTTTTAATGGTGTACCGAAAAGAGCACAGCCTTTCGGTGAGCTGTGTGTGTGTGTTTTACTCTGATTTCATGAAGGGAATGTTACCTCAGAGGATCTGTTCTTGAAAACGCTTTCTGCGAGAAAGCAAGCACAAATTGTATTCATGCAATCCAGAAACAGCCGTGAGGTCTTTGTTTCTTCGTGATTGTTGGATGTTTTTAAGTGTCGTAACCTGCAAGTTTATTGTGTGCTCGGTTTTATTTTTCCACCATTTGATTATGATTTCAGGGTCTTCGATGTACTGTACTACACATTTCTGTGATAAAAGAAGAAATGGACATCCTCCTATAACACCGGAAGAGTATTAGAGGAATAGTTTAGCTAAAACTAGAAAACAGCATTATTTTCTCGGCATGGTGAAAGCATTGTGCTGTTATTGGCACACAAATGTCTGGTGATAGCACTTTTAGCTTAGCTTAGCATGAATCATTGATTTGGATTAGACCGTTAGCATCTCGCTCAAATATTTCAAGACCTTTAATCCCACAAAACGTTAAATAGTCTCACTTTACAGTTCCTCTAGAGGTAAACAGTTGAGTTTTACCATTTTTAAATCCTTTCAGACGATCTTCAGGTCTGGCAAGAGCACTTTTAGCTTAGCTTAGCATAAATCATTGAATCGGATTAGACCGTTAGCTTCTCGCTCAAATATTTCAAGACCTTTAATCATACGAAAACTTAAATAGTCTCACTTTACAGTTCCTCTAGAGGTAAACAGTTGAGTTTTACCATTTTTAAATCCTTTTAGCCGATCTCCAGGTCTGGCAAGAGCACTTTTAGCTTAGCATGAATAATTGAATCGGATTAGACCGTTAGCTCTCGCTCAAATATTTCAAGACCTTTAATCATACGAAAACTTTAATAGTCTCACTTTACAGCTCCTCTAGAGGTAAACAGTTGAGTTTTAACCTTTTTAAATCCTTTTAGCCGATCTCCAGGTCTGGCAAGAGCACTTTTAGCTTAGCATAAATAATTGAATCGGATTAGACCATTAGCATCTCGCTCGAATATTTTAAAACCTTTAATCCCACAAAAAGGTAAATAGGCTCACTTTACTGCTCCCATAGAGTTGAAGAGTTGAGTTTTACCATTTTTGAATCCATTTAGCCAGTCTTTGGGTATGCTGAGAGCACTTTTAGCTTAGCTTAGCATAAAACATTAAATCAGATTAGACAGTTAGCGTCTCGCTCAAATATTTCAAGACTTTTAATAACAAAAACGTTTAATAGGCTAATTTGTTCAGCTCCTCTAGAGTTACAGAGTTGAGTTTTATCATTTTTTAATCCATTCAGCTGATCTTCAGGTCTGGCAAGAGCATTTTTAGCTTAGCTTAGCATAAATCTTTAAATGGGATTAGACGGTTAGCATCTTGCTCAAATATTTCAAGACCTTTAATCCTTACAAAAAGTTAGATAGGCTCACTTTACAGCTCCTGTTGTTGAAGAGTTGAGTTTCACCAGTTTTGAATCTCTTCAGCTGATCTCCGGTTCTGGCAAGAGCATTTTTAGCTTAGCTTAGCATAAATCTTTAAATGGGATTTGACTGTTAGCATCTCGCTTAAAGATTTCAAGACTTTAAATCCCACAAAAACTGAAATATTCTCACTTTACAACCCTCCAAGATTTAAGAGTTGAGTTTTACCATTTCTGAATCAATTCACCTGATCTCCAGGTCTGGCAAAAAGCACTGTTAGCTTAGCTTAGCATACATCATTGAATCAGGTTAGACCATTAGCATCTCACTGAAATATTTCAAGACTTGTAATCCCACAAAAAGTTAAATAGACTCACTTTACAACCTCCCTAGAGTTGAAGAGTAGAGTTTTACCATTTTGTAATTAATTTAGCCAATCTTCGCGGCTGGCGAAAGCACTTTTAGCTTAGCTTGGCATAAATTATTGAATCGGATTAGATCGTTAGCATCTCGCTCAAATATTTCAAGACTTTTAATCGCAAAAAAACTTAAATATTCTCACTTTACAGCTCCTCTAGAGTTAAACAGTTAAGTTTTACCCTTTTTAAATCCTTTCAGCCGATCCCCAGGGTCTGGCAAGAGCACTTATAGCTTAGCTTAGCATAAATCAATGAATCGGATTAGACCGTTAGCATCCCACTCAAATATTTCAAGACTTTTAATCCTACAAAAAGTGAAAATTGTGGCTCACAATACGCAGCTTCTGCTATTATGGTTGGAGCTGCTCCTTTGAAGAGTTTCAGCTGAATCCAGCACTAAACTGGGAGAGATTCTAGAAGCTCTCCTTTGTCAAATGCTAGAGCTATATCTGTTTTTAGTTCTCTGGAGCATTATTAAATTAAATTGTAAGCACTTCTCTCTATGTGTCTTCTGGAAACAGCAGCGTTTGGACGCCATTCTAGCTGTCTCTCCTGTAACATTACAGAATCTGGCCACGCCCCTTCACTGCACAGGGTGTGTGTACGTAACCTGAAAGGTTTATGACATCATTAACCCGGATGTATTTGCAAAGTTCGTTCGCTGTAGGCTTTGTTAAGCTAACTCTGTAAAAGCCAACGTCTCCCTTTGCATCTTCATAGATGTTGTATATGTTCACACAGCTACGCTACACATCAACTACAGTCTAACATCATAGTGGACCACCCCTTTAATGGAGGTTGATTAGGGAATATTGATTACTATTTTGTTAAATATTAAAAGATTAAAATACTTTAAATGCATTAGGATTAAGAATGTTTTGGATTCTGGGAATATATCACATTGATTTGTTCCCAGGCATGAAGTCATTTGGAGCTGCTCAAGGTGAGTCTAGTGCGGCTTTTCGTTTTTGGTTGAACTCTTCCTCCTAAATGCCTTTTGTTTCAGGTCTTCACTGTTTTCGAATGAAGAGTGGTGTGTGTTTATTATTATTCATTCTCCTGTGTATGTACTGTTGTTGTAACATTGTGTAAAATTAATGTGATGGTCAATGTAAAGAGTCTGTCATGCACAGGAATGGTGCCAAGCTTTATTCACCCATCCAGTGGTTTTATGTGTCAGGGCACGTGTCTCACCGACTCATTTGTGTGCCGGCCCTGAGCTTTAATAATGATCTGTTTCCAGCAATGTCAGTGGATTTGGTGTTTTCATGTGGAGTGCTCTGATGAGGATTCTGCTATGGTGGCTTTTAGAGACGCTGCAAGTTACGATTGTTACAGAAACGTGCCTGAAACTGAGCTAGGGGGCGCTAGGCAGCTCTTCGCAGCGGCGACAGAAGGGTGGAAATCCTCATCGTAAGCATGGTGACCTATTTTTCTCAAATAAAAAAAACAAAGTGTCTCCTCTGCTGTATGTTGTGAGTAGCAATAGTTCATTGAGTGCAGGGAAGGTGTTCATATGTGCCGAATAAAAAATAATAATAAAAAAACATAAGGTTTAAGAGATTCCGTGTGTTTCTGATTGTGTGTATTTACATATTGTTCACATTATAGAGGAGCTATTATGCACAAATCACTTGAATAAGGGTGTGTGTGTCAGCAGTGAGTATATCCAGCTTCTAATGGTAAACATGAATTAGCTGTGTTGTTCACATGGCAGCAACTCAATGCATTTAGACATATAGACATGGTCAAGACGACCTGCTGCAGTTCAAACCGAGCATCAGAAAGGGGATTTAAGGGACTTTAACAGTAACTCAAATAAGCACTCGTGACAACCGAGCTCTGCAGAAGAGCATCTCTGAACACACAACACGTCCAACCTTGAGGCGGATGGGCTACAGCAGCAGAAGAGCACACCGGGTGCCGCTCCTGTCAGCTAAGAACAGGAAACTGAGGCTACAATTCACACAGACTCACCAAAACTGGACAATAGAAGATTGGAGAAACGTTGCTGCTCTGATGAGTCTCCATTAGAGTCTGACACATTCGGATGCTCGGCTCACAATTTTGCCTCAACAACATGAAAGCATGAATCATCCTGCCTTGTATCAGCGGTTCAGGCTGGTGGTGGTGGTGTAATGGTGTGGGGGAGATTTTCTTTGGGTCCATTAGTACCAATTGAGCATCAACGCCACAGCCTACCTGAGTATTGCTGCTGACCATGTCCATCCCTTTATGAGCACAGTGTCTCCATCTTCTGATGGCTACTTCCAGCAGGATAACACAGCATGTCATAAAGCTCAATCATCTCAGACTGGTGAACATGACGATGAGTTCACTGTACTCAACTGGCCTCCACAGTCACCAGAGCTCAATCCAATAGAGCAGCTTTGGGATGTGGTGGAACGGGAGATTGGCATCATGGATGTGCAGCCGACAAATCTGCAGCAACTGTGTGATACTATCATGACAATATGGAGCAAAATCTCTGAGGAAGATTTCAAGTAGCTTGCTGAATCTCTGCCAGAAAGGATTAAGGCAGATCTGAAGGCAAAAGGGATCCAACCCGGTACTGGTAAGGTGTACCTAATATAGTGGCCGGTGAGCAGATTCTTTCTTTTATGACACTTTAATGACCACATCTCGACACACTGCACCATCTATCCTTTCTTTACTCGTTATGTAAATTGCCAGATTGGCTTTTCCAACAACAAAATTAATGATTTTCTTTTTTTTTTCCCCTCTTTTTTTTTTTTTTTTTTTTGCAATATTGAAACCGACCTGAGAAAAAAATAACCTTAAAATGCAAAGAGAACAGAGAGGGAGAGAACAGAAAGAGAGAGAGAAATGGGGAGAGTGAACAGAGAGAGAGTGAGAGTGATGTAAATCAGAGCTGCCCCCTCCCCCAGACCAGATGTGACGTTGAGAGCTTCAGTCTTCAGGCTCTACTGCGCAGCTGATCGCGGCTCCGCGCATCTGTCGACGACAAAACACGTTCAGGCCCACGGATGCGTCCCGTCAGGCTGGAGACCCACGACTGCGGGGCTTTTGGGGAGATAACGCAACTGTACCCGAGAGGTAACGAACTCACTACAACTTTCCTCCATGTTTAATAGAAGTTTGGAGCTTTCAGGAATGTCTTAGCATCTGTGCCTGAATCCCCTCACGAACTCTTGAAGATGTCTGACGTCTGTTATCATCAGAGTATCATAGTTCTGCTTAATATGCTCACACTTTAGCTTATGTCTATTAACTATGGGCTTATTAATAAGATATTATCTGTTCATTAGTAGTTGTAGTCTTATTCTGCATCCCTGATCCCATACTCAAAACCTAAACCCAATGTATGCCTTACTAACTAATAATAAACAGCTAATTAACTTAGCAGTTTATTAAGCTAGTACTGTTAGCTAATGGTTTGTTGATATCGTGAATTGTGACCTTAACTCTAATGTGGGTTATTATTTTGATTCAGGGTTATTATTTTGCAGTTTATGACATGTTATTATTTAATAACTGACTACAAATAACTCGGTTAGTAACTTATAATTGACAAAACTGATAACAATTGGAATTTATATTAGGTAGGCTATATAAGTCGCTTCCTCTATTACTTTGTGTTTGATTCCCTATCATGGATGAATACAAAATATATGACAATATTTAACTGAAGTAAAAAACGGAACTGAAATTGGTCTGTTCTATACATCTTTGATTGAGTGTGTGTGTGTGTGTGTGTGTGTGTGTGTGTGAGTCGTTCAGACGCAGCTTATGCAAGCATTAGTTGTTTGACCATGTGTTTCCCAGCAGGAATGCAGAGGTTGAGGGGTCAAGGGCCACTGCTGTGACTTGCCCTGTCTGGTTTCACCTTTCGTAATTTTTTTTTTAATTATCTGGAGTCTAATCACAGTTCAAACTAGCCGGAAATGATGCAGCCGTGGTGTCGCAAACATTGATCAAATCACTTATTTATTAAGGGGAAGTTCATATTTGAAGTGTGTACTGTGCATTTTAATGGATAGTTCACCCAATAATGAAATTTTACCAAGCATTTACTCTCCTTCAAATTGTTCAATACTGTTATGAGTTTTCGTTTTTCTGTTGAACACAAAAGAAGTTGTTTCGAAAAATGTTGGAACCATTGAATGAATGCCATGTAAGTCGATGGTTATAGGTTTGCAGCATTTTTCAAAATAACTTCTTTTGTTTTCGAAAGAAAAAAGGAAACTCTTAAAGGTATGGAACAATTTGAGGGAGAGTACATTTACATTTTTGGGTGAACTATCCCTTAAAAAACTTTACACACTTCGGTAAGACTACACACTATGAATCATTTATTAAGCATTAGCTAATAGTTATTTCATGATCTGTTAAGCACCTACATTAATACATGTTAGTAAGCAGTTTATAAATGCAGCTACAAATGCTGTATTCTTGACTTATAGGCACATTTATAATGTTTAATGATTGCATTTTCATACTCTGTCATTGATTATTTTTATCATTACTAAATGAAGTATTGCATTATTTACTAACCAGTTATTTAAGAATAGTTGGTGCTATCAATGCATAAGTAAATGATTAATAAACTATTCAAATTAACATTCATATATCTCATTATTCAGGTGTATACTAATAGTTCATTTGTATGTTAATAAATGCTTCACTTAGTCACTTTATTAGTGTTTTGTGACCTAATCTAAAGTGAGGACTGTTTATGCTTCATAAATTCGTATAAATGACAATTAAAGGCTCAGTTATATTCTAAACAGGAGAAAAAATGACTTTATTAATTTCTATTAATTTGAAGATACACAAATGAAACCGTATCAAATGAAACAAAAATAAATCTTTGCAATGTAAAATAAAATTACTGCACAGTTTAAACTTTGCTAAATAACTCTGAAATGTATCATAATATATTGTTAAATTATTATATTGTTATCTAATTTTATTTAATAGTATTTATTTATAATTGTATTTTGACACTCCTGTTATTCAGCTAAGTTTACAGTAATATTATTATGTAGATAATATTGCAAACATGTATTGTTTATTTCATACTGAGCCTTTAATTGTCATTAATAAGGTATTTATAAAGCATAAATAGATTAGATTAGGTCACAAAACAGCATGAAGGTGAGTTAGTAAAGCATTTATTAACATACATAGTAACCATTACTATGCCTGAATAGTACAATATATAAATGTTGATTTGAATAGTTTATTAATTGTTCACTAATGCATTGTAAACAATTCTAAAAGCCACCAACTACTCAAATACAAATGGTTTGTAAATAATGCAACACTGAGTTTAGTAATGATCAATTAATAAGTAATGAATTATGAAAACACAATTATTAAACACAGTATACATGTGCTTTTAAGTCAAGAATACCGCATTAGTACTAAACATCTATTAATGTAGAGTTAATGCTTAACACATAATGATTTAACTATTTACTAATGTGTAATAGATGATTCATAGTGTGGAGTTATTATAGTGTGACCCACACTTCAAATAGGACCTTTCTGCTGCTCAATAAATAAGTGAGTTAATCAAAGTTCGCGAAACTTATTCCCATTAAATAAATCCTGTGTTAGTCAATGGTTACAGGATTTCAGCATTTTTCAAAATAACTTCTTTTGTGTTCTACTGGTCTGCGACAAGTGTAGCCTAAATTAAGCGATGAGTGGATTTTCGGTTTTGTATGAACTGTCGCTTTAAGGCAGGGGTAATAGATGCCGGCTGCACTGGACACATGTCTAGACACCCCATAAACCAGGACCAGCTAATTTTCCATTTGACCAGCAGAGTGTTCGTCAGTCTGGAGGAGAAGGAGGAGGAGGAGAGCTTACATTCTTGCAAAGACACGCTTGTGGTTCATTGAGCATGAGCACGTTTTCTCTCTCAGACACAACAACCTTACACAATGAGTTTAAGATGCTTCTTCAAGCGGCTTATTTGAAAACGAGTTTTTAATTTTGGAGTTTTTGGGGGAGTTTAATGTTCATTCCGCTTAAAATTGTAAACAATTAAGTTGACTTAATCCATTTGTGTTGGGATGACATGATGGTATTTTGTGGAAACAAGCACACTTTTTAGAGTAAAAGATAAGCATTAGATCTGAAAACCTATTTTTGGTTAAAAGTCCTTCTGATAAGGGTGGCACAGTGGCTCAGTGGTTAGCACTGGGGCCTTACAGCATAAAGGTCGCTGGTTCAAGTCCCAGCTGGATCAGTTGGTGTTTCTGTGTGGAGTTTGCTTGTTCTCCCCGTGTTGGAGTGGGTTTCCTTTGGGTGCTCGTTTCCCCCACAGTCCAAACACATGCGGTATTGGGGAATTGATCAACTAAATTGACCGTAGTGTATGAGTGTGTGTGTGTGTGTGTGTGTGTGTGAATGAGTGTGTATGTATGGGTGTTTCCCAGAACTGAATTGCAGCCAGAAGGGCATCCGCTGTGTAAAAACATATGCTGGATAAGTTGGCGGTTCATTCGATTTCACTTTATTCAAATGGCCTCCACAGTCACCAGATCTCAATCCAATAGAGCAGCTTTGGGATGTGGTGGAACGGGAGATTTGCATCATGGATGTGCAACTGTGATGCTATTATGGAGCAAAATCTCTGAGGAATATTACCAAGAGCTTGTTGAATCTCTGACATGAAGGATTAAGGCAGCTCTCAAGGGAAAAGGGGTCCAACCTGGTAATAGTAAGGTGTACCTAATAAAGTGGCCGGTGAGTGTATGTCAGCGCAAAGTACAACTAGGCTATCTGACATCAGAATTTTCATTTTTGGGTGAATTGTCTCTTTTAGGCTGAACATTCATATGCTTTTTTTTTTCATTCTCAGCTTGTAGGCCGAGCCGGTTACAGGTAAGCCATTTGAAGTTTGACTTCCTCGAGAGTGTAAACAGTATGGCTTTGTCTGTCCGAGCCTGTGAGGTCTGAGATTTCTGGAGGAAGCTTATTGGTTAATAATATTACCAGTACATCTCAAAGGCTAATGCTAGCCAATGAGCCTCTCTGATTGATGTTTATTTGAGCCAATCAAATCAGTTACAGGAAGTAGGAAAAACAAATATGGAGGTCAATGGTAAGCTTTGATGAAAGGTGTTGTTGAGTGCACTATATAGGGAGCTTTCACACACACACTGCTACAGTACAGTGAACTTTTGTCTTCATTTCATAAACGTGTAGAAACCCTGAGATCAGCCCTACAGCTGGCTCTAATTACCGCAGGCATGCAGTCTAACACACTGGGAAAATAACGTGTGTCTCTCGTTCTGTCTCCTCAGCTGAGAGGGAGCGAGGGGATGCGGTCTCTCCCTCTCTGATGCCAGAATGAGAACGTACACTCGCGGGGCACCAACAGTGTTCTTCATAAGTGCACTGTGGGTTCTGGCTGCCCCCGGTCCGGCTGCGGTGGACCCCACTGGAGGAGTGGCGTTTTTGGGAGGGAACTACGAGGGAACGCACCCCATGCTGTACTTCGGCCTGACGGAGGTGGAGGAGCTCCAGCGGGCCGCCATCGGGACGCACAAAGCATTGGCTCAACAGATCCGGGAGGCTGGGGAGGCTATTCTAGAGCGTCCTGAGGAGTACCTGCCCCCCTGGAGCCCTGCTGAGTTCAGTGCCCGCTGGAATGAGGTGTACGGAAATAACCTGGGCTTGCTCTCCATGTTCTGCATGCTGTACCCGCACCGCGCCGGGGCTCTGGACGTAGCCAAGGAATACATGGAGCGCATGGCCGCACAGCCCAACTGGTAAAAGTTGTGTGTTTGTGTGTGTGTTGTGCTGCTAATAGCCATGTTAGCATTCACCTTGTTAAATATCTCAACTCTGCCTACCATACTTCACCTTAATTTTAGTTTAGATTTGGTTTTAGTTTATTTTAGGTTCAGTTTTAATTTAATAAATTTTTAGTTTATATTTTTTTTGTTTAGGTTAGGTTAAATGTTAGTTTAAGGTTTAGTTTAGTTTAGTTTAGTTTAGTTTAGGTTATTTTAGTTTGGTTTTTAATTTAGGTTATTTTAGTTTGGTTTGTTTGAAGTTTAGGTTTAGTTTAGATTATTTTAGTTTAGTTGAATTTTATTTTAGTTTTAAGTTTGGTTAGTTTAGGTTATTTTAGTTAAGGTTAAAGGTTTAAATTAAGTTTATTTTAGTTTAGGTTTTAGTTTAGGTTATTTTAGTTAAATTTAGTTTAAGGTTTAGGTTTAGTTTAGTTTTAGTTTAGTTTAGATTATTTTAGTTTAGTTTAAGGTTTAGTTTAGGTTTATTTGTAAGTTATAATTTTAAGTTTTGTTTAAGTTTTAAGTTTACTTTAAGGTTTAGGTTTAGTTTAGTTTAGTTTTTTTTAGTCTAAGTTGAAGGTTTTGTTTAGGGTTTAGTTTAGGGTTTAGCTTTTTTTGCAGTTTAGTTTAAGTTTAGTTTAAGGTTTAGTTTAGTTTAAGTTAAAGTAATTTAGTTTAAGGATTAGTATAAGGTTTAGTTTATTTTATTTTAGTTTTTAGTTTAGGTTATTTTTGTTTAGTTTAAGTTTAAGGTTTAGTTTTAAGTTACTTGTAAGGTGTAGTTTGAGTTTAATTTACATTTAAGGTTTAGTTTTAGTTTATTTGTAAGATATAATTTTAACTTAGGTTTGTTTAAGTTTTAAGTTTAGTTTAAGGTTTAGGTTTTTTTTAGTTTAGGTTATTTTATTTTAAGGTGAAGGGTTTGTTTAGGGTTTGTTTAGGGTTTAGCTTTAGTTACTGGAGGTTATTTTAGTTTAGTTTAAGTTTAAGGTTTAGTTTTAGTTTGTTTGTAAGTTATAATTTTAATTTAGGTTTAGTTTAAGGTTTAGGTTTAGTTTAGTTTTAGGTTGTTTTAGTTTAGTGTAAATTAAAGTATTTTAGTTAAAGTTTAAGGTTTAGGTTATTTTAGTTTAGGTTAAAGGTTTAGTTTAAGTTTAAGTTTTTTTTGTTTAGTTTTAGTTTAGGTTATTTTTTCTAGTTTAGGTTTAGTTTTAGTTTACTAGTAAGGTGTAGTTTAGGTTTTAGATTTAGTTTAGTTCAGGAGTGTGGGTTTGGCAAACTTCCTATAAGACACCATCTGTCATCTCCATATGTACCAGACTTTTCCTTATCAACACGATAGAAACATCTTACAGTTCTTTAGCCGCCTTTCCACTGCACACAATATTCAGACATGACTAGTGGCTGTAGCATGAATCTTCATTATGGTCATCAGGGCACAGAAATGCATCTGTGAATACTGTAACACTATCCCTCATCTTTACCATATTCCACATTCCTGTGCAGTTTCTCTGAAGTGTTGACCTGTTTCTGATACTGTTACCACGAAAGCCTTGAATGCTTTGACTGACAGTTAGACCTGCCTTTGATGTGTCTAAACTTGTGTCTGATGCTTCTTACACTCTTACCTTTACCTCCGATCATTCTTGCTCTGTCACTGCTTTATTAAGGTCAGATGGTTTCCATCATATTCCCACAAATTGAGTACAGATTTTGGTTTGGTATAAAAATGTCAGGAATGCATTTAAGAACACTTGTAGTTTGACTTAAAAGAAAAATGTCTATATGCAGAGCATGTGAAGAAGCTAAAATAAACCTTCAGCAAAGAATAAACTTAGATATAGCAGTATTAAACTCCATATAAAGTTATTATGGCATGCTACAGATGCCCATTTTTGAGTGTGTTGAAATGCAAATGACCCGCCTCATTTCCAGAGTTCTGAATCATCACAACAATGAACTCATGTTTACCATTAGAGGCTGGAGATAATACCCTGTAATTCAGCGAACCAAGATCAGCCCATTGAGTCCTCATATGTCTTGAAGATTTAGATAAGCATTAGAGGGGTTTTCAGAAACGTGAGTTCACCTTTATGTGTGTGCAGCTTTTAAATATACAGCATTTGCACTGTATAGTTCACACAGTGCAGGTTTTCCCTCAGTGTGTTCAGATGTGGTCTTTCCTTCTGCCGCTGGTTTGTGTTTAAGCTGCTGTGGATGGCTGGGGTTAACTGCTGCGGTTCTGCACTCTCATTTACACCGCCGCCAGCATGTAGTGGCCAACCGGGACAAACCTCCAACTTTTGCAGCTTGTAATACATTGCTGCTATTACACACACTGCAGATTATAGGTATATAGCTCAGATCTACGGCATCCACTAGCTATTGCTACTACTAGGCAACATGATATTTGAAGGACATGCATGTATTTGTGGCCATTGTTCCCACAATTAATGTCTTAAGGGGACCTGTTATGCTGAAATCACCTTTATAAGGGGTTTAAACTCAACAGTCTGTGGATATAATCAGCTTTTAATGGTAACAATTTATTAATTGTATTTTTTTATAATCAGACTTAATACAAACTGTCTGCAGAAACACTTTAATTAACATTTTCCTAGTAACTAAGGTTAAACGTGCCGTCAATTAATCTACAAATTTCTAATTTAAAAACTTTCTCTCGAAACCCATCCAAATATAAGCACTGCAGTTGCTCTCATAAGTTCTCTTTCTAACATATTCCTCTGTCTGATGTGTGTCAGAGGGGTAACGATGGCTGTTTTTGTTTCAGGATGGTGAAAGATGCTCCGTGGGACGAGGTCCCGATAGCTCACTCTCTGGTCGGCTTTGCCACGGCGTTCGACTTCTTATACGAGTACCTCAGTAAAGGCCAGCAGGAGCGTTTCATCCAGGTGATTGGGAACGCCTCACGCTACATGTATGAGAAGTCTTACCACCGCGGCTGGGGTTTCCAGTACCTGCACAACCATCAGCCCACCAACTGCGTCGCTCTTTTGACTGGCAGTCTAGTACTCATGAACCAGGGTGAGTCTTGCTTCTCCTTTGTGTGTGTGTGTGTGTGTACATGTTTTTGTGACATATCAGGACACAAGTCTGTATAATGACATGGGTATGACACAGGTATTACAAAAAGGAGGTGAAATATGAGGACATTGGTGACGTCCTCATTTCTCAAAATGCTTATAAATCCGACAGAATGAGTTTAATCAGAGAGTAAAGCTGCACACAGTCTCCTGTGATGGTTGGGTTTAGGGGTGGGGTGAGGGCAATATAATATACGGTTTGGCCTGCATAAAATGAATGGAAACCTATGCAATGTCCCCACTTTTCACAAAAACAAACATGTGTGTGTGTGTGTGTGTGCATGTGTGTGTGTGTGTAGACAGTTTGAATTTATATGGATGCATTTATGTGTGACATTATGCACTGTAAAAAATCCAGGGTTCTCACAACTCTTAATGTTGCCCTAACACAAATCGATTAAGTTAACTTAATCATTTTTGGAAATTAAGTGGAGTGAACATAAAACGATTAAGTTTTCCAAAAAAATATTTTTTGTATACTTGTAGCCCCGCCCAATAGTGCCCATCTCTCCCTCATTAGCATAGGATATTAGTCTTGTTTTCATATTATACACTATGCTGACACACAGCCATCTGTAGCTCCGCCCTCTTCTGAAGAGAGCACAATCTCATTTGCATTTAAAGTGATAGTCACCAAAACACCACAATTAGGATCAAAGCCTGAAAGGGTCAGTTTCAGAGAGTTAGAGAACATTATTTATGTGCTATTTTCAGCTGAAACACACACTCTAGAGGCATCAGAGACGCATTTTACATCCTGTAAAAATGAGCAGATTATGTCCCCTTTAACACCAAGTGGAACTGAAATTCCTGTTTCTTTCTCAATATGCAGACAATCTGTTATTCCCACTTAAACTGACATATGGCTTATGGAGAAAGTTCAGTCTTCTGCCATACACACACACACACACACACACACACACACACTATAAAGGATGGCTCTGCCCCCTCGCTCAGCATTCCTGCCTGGAATGTAAGGCTGAACAGGGTCATTCTGCAGAGCTGAACTTAAGCCTCCGTAATTATTTCTCCAGTGAAGCAGTTCTCCGCATGACTCCTGTATTCTCCAACTGATATTTTCCCCACTCTTTTGCTCTTTTGTGTTTCCCTCTCTCTGTCTCTGTCTTCATTCCTCCCCTGCAGCTATTCATAACATAATCTGTAGTTTTTGGCCCTGAAAGTGCATCTCCCTGTTCTTCTTTGCCCTTTTTGAAGCAGCTTCTCTCATATCCGTCCAGATATTTGAAGGTTCTTTTTGACCCACTGTTCCCAGCATTCCCAGCCCAAGCACTGATCCGTTTCATAGCTGATGAATCGGTATCAAACATCAGCGTTGATATTCAGTAAATGACGTGGGTTTGTGGATTTTGAAATCCGCTAAACAAACACAGCCCAACCCTTACGAAAAAGTTTATTCAAGTGTACTCTCAGTCTACTTTTAAACTACAAATAAGAAAGTATACTTTCAGCGTATTATTTTGCACTTCTATAAAATATACTTCCTTTTTAGCTTTTAGGTTTAACCTAGTGTGCTATTAGTATGCTTCTTTCAGACAAAATAAGTATATTTTAAGTACTTCTTGGAAATGTACTTAACCCTTTCACATGTACAATCACACCAGCCTCAGCTGGTCCATAAAGCGTACGATCACACCAGTGTGATCAGCCTCAGCCGGTCCCTGAATCATACGATCACACCAGTGTGATCAGCCTCAGCCGGTCCCTGAATCGTACGATCACACCGGTGTGATCAGCCTCAGCCAGTCCCTGAAGCAAACAATCACACTGGTGTGATCAGCCTCCACTGGTCCCTGAATCGTACGATCACACCGGTGTGATCAGCCTCAGCCGATCCCAGAAGCAAACGATTACACCAGGTGATCAGCCTCCACTGGTCCCTGAAGCGTACAATCACACCGGTGTGATTCAAATGTTCAGAGCACTCGTCATCAACTAATAACACTCTAGGTTGTCGGCGCACACTGAGGCACAGAAAGAGATGTGCTGCACTGGTCATAAATCACAATTTATCCATGTTTTCAAACAAATAACATTTATTTTAGGTTTCAGACGTTCAAATACACATAACTTTAAGCAAAAAAAAACATTTAAGGTTTGTAAAATACCCAGGGATGTCTGTGGACTCGGCAGTAATAATAGGTTGGACGTGTTGTGTGTTCAAAGATGCTCTTCTGCAGAGCTCGGTTGTAACGAGTGCTTATTTGAGTTACTGTTGCCTTTCTATCAGCTGGAACCAGTCTGGCCATTCTCCTCTGACCATCAACAAGACATTTGAGCCAACAGAACTGCCACTCACTGGATATTTCCTCTTTGTCAGAGCATTCTCTGTAAACCCTAGAGATGGTTGTGCGTGAAAATCCCAGTAGATCAGCAGTTTCTGAAATGCTCAGAGCAGCCTGGAAGCAACATCCATGCCATGTTCAAAGTCACTTAAATCCTCTTTCTTCCCCATTCTGATGCTCACTTTGAGCTGCTGCAGATCGTCTTGACCATGTCTACATGCCTAGATGCATTGAGCTGCTGCCATGTGATTGGCTGATTAGGACAGGTGTACCTAATATTATGTCCAGTGAGTGTAGATGTTAATACGTGAAGTATACTTAAAATACACCTCTATATTACTTAACCTTAAAGTAAACTTTGAGAATGACTCCTTCAGATCACTTTGTTTTCAGTTCAAACTAGTTAAAAATGTTCAAAGCTACATATAATGTTGTTTGAAATAGAAAGAATGGTGAATTTCATGTGTTGTCATCACATCACTAACCATTCATTACTGCTTCTTAAAGGATCACACCACTATCTTGAAGGCCCAAAAAAGCAAACTGTTTTCATAAACAGCTCCAAACGTAACACATCAGTCAAAGTAAGTGACATATTAAAAATGTGAAAATATTAGGAGTTATTAGCATTCACTACCAGAGGAACCAAAAGAAACATTAGGAGTATCAGTTTTCAGACACGCTTTGTTAGTCGATGATTGAAAGAGATGAGGGAGGAGGAGGTTAAGATGGTCCGGGCATGAAAGTAAAGAGCTAATTATCATAACCGTTTAGCAAAGCAAACTTTGTGTCTGATGTCAGGCCATTTTTCCAGCACTGGAAAGCTAATATCCACACATCTATCTGTCAAATGTAACCGTAGTCTCAGCCTCAGACATCACATCAAGCAGGTCAACAGATCCTCAGTCGTCCTCTGATTGGTTTTAATATACAAGTCGAGTGTGCAGCAAACTTAACCAGTCAGCCTTGAAACAAGTCGGAGCAGATTAAAAAGCTGTGATGTTTATATTCATATTAACAAATGCATATTACATGCAGGAGTCTTACAATGCTTGGTTAAAGTTGTGTGTGCTTTAATAACAATGTCTTCCGATGAGCAATTATTAATGTGACTTAATTGCTGAATTATTAAACGTTTGCAAAGCTTTGACCCGTGATGTAAACAAACATTTGTGTATGCTTATACTCACCTTTTCAGTGAAAAACATTGTCAAAATATCCAAATACTGTCATTTTGGTCATAAAGATAAGGGAAAGACATTTTCACTAAGGCCGCCGTTATCTGTCTTACTTTTTTCCTTTTTCTGAAAGTCCTGATAACACTTTCCTGGAGTTTTTCTTTTATTATTTGAGCAAATATGAATGCAAAAAATGTATTTGTGGCACTCTCCCACTCACTGTGCTCTATGTTGACCAAACTAGGATGACCTCTGCTCCTGAAATGACCCAAATGTGATTATACAATCGCAAATAGAGACCTACTTAAAGGGTTAATGCACAATAACATGCTTCACTGACCATATTTAAGTGAACCCATAAAACTTTTGTTTGTTTTGTTTATCTTTAGTGTCTTCTTGAAATATATTTATTTAAATTTATGCAACAGTTCTGTCTGGTTCTCGAATCTGATTGGCTGAGATGTGCGATATTCTGCAATAACAGCACTCGTACAGCCTTTTCACACTTGTGTATTACTCCGCCCAAACAGAGTGACAGCAGATCAATAAACTCACTACAGTTTGACTAATATTGCAGCTGTTGGACAACATAATGCACTTTTGAGGCTTCTTTAGTTGAGAATGTAGTTGTTTAGATTACAACTATGCGGTTTATTTATAAGGATAGTGCCTATTTTAAAATATTTATCATTTCTGAGAGACATCAGCTTGTCATACAGAGCAGAGCAAAGACTGTTGACATTCCGCCACAAGATGGCGACAGAGAGCCCATAATAAGGACTACAGCTGATCAAATCATTATTAAACAGGTAAGCGAGATTCTAAGTCGATCTCTCTCTCTCTTGTTTGTTGTAGTGTTGTATTTATACTATAGTAATCAAAGCAATAAGTGTTTGCTTTGGCTTTTTCTTGGTTAATTATTGTGATCTCCTGATTGCAACAGGGAAATACTGGGCAATCTCTGTAGACTGATGGCATTTCATGCTGTTCAGCCTTATAATCTTATAATGTGAGCAAGATCAGCTGTTTTATCATCACTTTAGACATTACGCTAGAGAATCACTCAAACACTAGCTCTACAGTGAGGTTGGCGAATGAGCAGCGGCTTTTGCTGTTCTGATGTCAGCTGCAAATGTGAATGAATGACGGAAGAAAGTAGTTCCTTGTACATAAATGATTTTGATACTCTCCGTGTTTGATTTTCTTATTTATACACACGACTAAGCTGTCAACCTGTTGTATAAACGTATTATCACACGAATAGCATTGGGATATGGCTGTATATCAATGCACGTCTCTTAGCAGTGCTGATATACAGTATCAGTATCTGCTACTCATGTGATATTGCTCATTTAAATTATTATATTGTATTTATTTTTCTTTCACGCAAGGGCCGAAAATCCTAACGCTTTGCTAGCAGTACATTTTCATCTAGCCTATTTTAGAGCATATTACAAGATGTAAAATAAGTCTCTGATGTCCCCAGAGTGTGTATTTGATGTTTAAGAATATTCAAATTACCTCATGAATAATGTTCTCCAGCTCTCTGAATCTGACCCTTTCAGGCTTTGATCCTGATTGTGGTGTTTTGGTGACTGTCGCTTTAAATGCAAATGAGATTGTGCTCTTTACAGAAGAGGGCGGAGCTACAAATGCCTGCCTGCCTTCAAGCATAGCAGCTGATTAATAAACAAGACTAACGTTCTATGCTAATGAGGGAGACATGGTCACTAGTGGGCGGAGCTTACCCCCTCTGATGACACGTACAAAGGGACAATGTCAATCAAAGTGTTTGTCATCAAGTCTGATTATAAACAATACAGTTAATACATTTAGACTTTAACAGCTGCCTATATTCACACACTGCTGACACACAACTGTGTTTAAGCCGCTTATTAAAGTAATTTCTGCAGAATAGCTCCCCTTTAAAACATGAGGTTGGAGCAGATTCTTCTAAAAGTGATTGCTTTGAATACATGTCTTATTGCAGAAATAGCTCATCCAGAATTAAACATTCTCCCCTAAACCAGCTCATGGAAGGTCAGGTGTGTTGTGCTGTGTACACTGGTTGTATCCTGCAGTAAACCATCAGCAAAAATAGCATGAGAAGTGAAGCGGTGCGGCTCTTTAAACACACCCATACTCAAACCATACCTTCATTGAGCTAAAAACTGGAGTGCTAATATTATAACACAAGAACAAGCTGTGTAGTTCGGTGTCAGACGCAACAGAAAATGACTGAGAAAACAACTGTAAATGTGAAGATCATTAAACACATAAGATTTTATTTTTATTGTAAATTGGTACGTGTGTTTGCTGGTTTTGGTGGCTTACAAGTACAGAAATTTGTATGATTACATGAGTGTAAACTATGCCGAGTTCAGACTGCAGGATTTTCGAAAGTAGTGGCGTCACAGTTGTTTTGACACTGCATGACTATCTGGGCTAGCGTTCTGTCGCTGCTGTGTTTACAGCACAAGATGTATCGGCGACAGGAGGTTTCACATTTCATGACTTTACAATAGTAAAGAATCCAACCCAAGCTCATTCTGAAAACGTAGCCCCGCGGATGTTTCTGGAGACCGCGATTTACGTGGCTGGAGGTACTCATGACCGCATTTCATTTTTTTAAGCGAACGCTCCTCTTCGCGCTCGCTGGCTGACAGCTCAACTCCGTGTGGAGGGCTTTCCTGCTGCAACCAGTTTGTCCGGTTAGCTCGTCGTGTACATCAGCGGATAGGAGACCCGGAGGCTCTTCGAGTCCGGGGAAGAGCGGTTTCAGATATCAGGTAAGACAAAATCAGAATCCAAAAAAATAAGTGAACGAGTTCATGACAGGGCAAAAACGTGGTGAAATCCGAAAACGCGGTCAAAATCAGACGAAGGCTTTTCTTTTTCTGGTCGGCTTTTGTAAATCGTTGCTTGGGTTTAGGCAAGCGAGTGAGCGAGCGGGCAGGCGAGCGGGCGCACAGACAGGTCAATCGGTAAAACCGGTTGGGTTTAGGAAAGGAGGAGGGTGGGTCGGCCGATTGGCTGGTCGCCCAGTTAATCATTCAGTCAGTCGAACAGACAGTCGCTCGACAGCAGCCTCCGCGGCTTTACGTGAGAACGCTCGCGAGAGGCGTTCGAAATCCGAAAAAGTGCACACAGTGGATTTGCGAAAACAAAAACTGCACAAAAACGTACCTCCTGGCGCGCAGACGGGTCAATCGGTAAAACCGGTTGGGTTTAGGGAAGGAGGAGGGTGGATCGGCCCGGATAATCATTCAGTCAGTCGGACAGACAGTCGCTCGACAGCGGCCTCCGCGGCTTTACGTGAGAATGTTTGCACTCGCGAGAGGCGTTCGAGATGGATTCGTGAAAACAAAAACTGCACAAAAACGTACCTCTACGTTTCTAGAATGAGCCTGGGTTGCAAGAATCACAGACAGATTTGTCACGGCCTGCAAACTACGTCTGGAGAGCAATGCAAGGTCACGTAATATGTCTTCATAATAAGAAAGGAATCCTTTATAAGGCTTTAATGTACGGTTGTACTTTAGTCTTAACAACTCTTGTGCATTTGTCAACAAAAGCAGCAATCAGACTACATTCACACAGATCTGTTTGACCACGCTGTGGATTAAAGCTAATCATATTGTAAATAATGTTCAATTGTATACATGGAGCGATCCGCAAGACCTCAGTGTGCCACAGCTATTGATTTGGACTCATTTTGATGTGTTTATTTTTAATGTTAATAACCGTTCAGCATTTAATCAGCATTCACTGCCTTTAACTGAATCACCAAACACCACAGATTCAGCTCAAAATCTTCTTTAATGTTCTACTCAAGAAAATAAGTCATCTACATCTTGGATGAGCTAAATTAACAGGAAATGTTTATTTTTGGGTGAGCTATCCTTTTAAGGAGGGATCTCTTGAGGGGTAAGGGTGATGTAGGACCATATAATAAGTGTTTTTACTGTATACAACGCATTACGCCTATAGAGAGTCCCTATAAATCACCAATTCCAGCGTTTGTGTGTGTTTGTGTTTGTGTGTGTGTGTTTAAAGTCTAAATGTGATCGCTGTTAGTGGGTGGACCGAATGTGTTCCAGGAAAACTGTGGTGTGACAGCATTACTCAATAAACTGATGAGCTGCGGTCTAAATATTTATGTGGTTCTTCTCATGTTGACCGCAGCATACCGGCAGTGGAGATGAGGCTGAATCTCAAAACATTTTCCCCAAATTAAGCCTTTATGTGCATTTAAAATGAGGATTAAAGTGCCTGTTACATTAAAATAATGATTTCTAGATGTTAGTGTGTCAGTATGTTAGTCGTAAGGATGTCTATACGCTAGTGCTCTCCAAAACAGTGGCAAAATTCACATTTTAGAAGATATAAACATTCATAACTTGCAGTTTGTCACGTCCGCCCTAATGGATTAACCATTTTTCTTTGACATTACCTCATTCTTTTAACCTTTTTAAATCTTCTGACCAATCAAATGCTCTCCAGTGTCTGCCAAGCCCCGCCCCCTTCTTCACATATACTGTTCATTTGATGCACTTGAGCTCGGCAAACTCTCACTGGCAGAGCTGTGAGAAAAACCAAACACTATTGGCTGTTTTTTTAAATAGGGGAGGAGCTACTACTGAATATATCCCGCCCTTCGTGTTTTAGTTATTACATCAAACATCAAATAAAAAAATGCACATTTCAAAACACCTCACATAGATTTAACACCAAGAGTTTATCTCAAATACTGAAGTCTGCAAAGAGTCCTGGTGTCTTCATTATAACTGCACGATTCATCATGCATGCCATCAAACGCCACTTAATGAGGTCTAAGGGATGTGGTTTCTGCATGATTTATCTGTGCTGAGCTAAACTGACTGTGACAGTTCAGATCTGTTGTTTTTTGCTGACACAAGCCCATCTAAAAGCACTCCAGATAACTTATTCCAGGGTCATTGCAGAAAGCAGCGTTCTGAAATGTTGTACTGTATAAACATGGGCGGTATTTTCTTTGCACCATTTTGGGAACTAAGCCGTTTATGACTAAGAGGTTGTTGTTGTTGTGTGGACACACAGATATATTATGGACATTTTGGGGTTCTTTAATAGTTGATGACTTTGGCAGTCTTGGGTAGAGTCTTGAGAGCAATTTTCTTCTGATGTGTATGGAGGTCATTCAGTTATTTTCCTTCAGTTTAGTCTTTTTATTTATTGACTCGGCTCTGTTGGTGTTTCTGTGTGGAGTTTGCATGTTCTCCTTGCGTTCGCGTGGGTTTCCTCCGGGTGCTCCGGTTTCCCCCACAGTCCAAACACATGCGGTACAGGTGAATTGGGTAGGCTAAATTGTCCGTAGTGCATGAGTGTGTGTGTGGATCTTTCCCAGAGATGGGTTGCGGCTGGAAAGGCATCCACTGCGTACAAACTTGCTGGATAAGTTGGCGGTTCATTCTGCTGTGGCGACCCCAGATTTAAAAAGGGACTTATCCAAAGATGCTAATAAACATGCACAAAACGATATTTAATCCTTCTGCTGTGTAAAGCATATGTTGGAATAGTTGACAGTTCATTGCACTGTGGCAACCAGTAATAACTAAGGGACTAAGCCAAAGGAAAATGAATGCATGCATATAATCAATTCTAGTAGGATATAACCAAATGATCATTCTAAGAGCTGGCATGTTCCCCGTGTTACGGGTAAATGAGCAGCCAATGTGTGGCACGTATAATAACAGTTCCTCTTGTTGTGCTGTGTGCTTCATATTTCAGGATACCTGCAGGAAGCATACCTCTGGACTAAACAGGCGATTTCCATCATGGAGAAATCTATGGTGCTTCTCCAGGACGTGACCGATGGCTCTCTGTATGAGGGTGTCGCGTATGGAACTTACACCACTCGTTCACTCTTTCAGTACATGTATCTGGTGCAGAGACATTTTGACATCGGCCACTTCAGTCATCCCTGGCTGCAAAAACACTTTGCATTTCTCTACAGGACACTTTTGCCTGGTAAGGTTCTCCTCTGGCTAGTTTAGAGTATAACTCAAGCCTAGTTTTTTCTTTAATTATGTAATTTATGTATGTATTTTTCAGTTTTGTCATCATTTTTGTGGACAGTTTGGGTAAATTGTAAAATCTGGGACGGATATGGATAAACATATTAAGTGTTGAGTTTTTTATAACCTCTTTCGACCTACTGTATTCATTGGTTTGTTTGCTCCTGCAGGTTTTCAGAGAACTGTTGCAATTGCAGATTCCAACTATAACTGGTTTTATGGGCCAGAGAGTCAGTTGGTCTTCTTGGATCGGTACGTAATGCGAAATGGCAGTGGGAACTGGCTGGCTGAGGTGATCAGACAGAATCGGGTTCTGGAGGGCCCTGGACAGGCAGGCAGGGGTCAGCGCTGGTGCACACTGCACACAGAGTTCCTCTGGTAAGATCTGTGCTCCTCAACATGGAGTGTCTTAATGATTTTGCTCAGTTAGGGATATGTGCCCTGCTCAACGCACCTCATTTGGGTAGAAAAGGTGGGAGACAGTGGTGTGTATTCACTCCCCCACCTTCAGTTTCTGTTTGTACTGGGAATTGGTTTATTATGTTAAGTCAGACTGGCCTTTGTGTCCACCGAAGCACTGAAAACACCAGCACTGCTCTAAAAATGTTTGGCTATGAGTGTTTCAACTGTGGCGATGCAGTGGCGCGGTAAGTAGTGCTGTCGCCTCACAGCAAGAAGGTCGCTGGTTCGAGCCTTGGCTGGGTCAGTTGACGGATCTGTGTGGAGTTTGCATGTTCTCCCTGCGTTCGTGTGGGTTTCCTCTGGATGCTCCGGTTTCCATCACAGTCCAAACACATGCAGTACAGGTGAATTGGGTAGGCTAAATTGTCTGTAGTGTATGAGTGTGTGTGAATGAGTGTGTATGGATACTACCTTCACCACGCGTGCTTCAGTTATATCCATGTCTAGGGCGGCAGAATAGAGAGGGCATTGCCCCCTATACTACCCCTTACCACGCGCGGCCTCAGTTATATCCGCGTCTAGGGCGGCAGAATAGAGAGGGCGGCGTCCATGACACTACCCTCACCCCCCACGCCCTCAGTTTTATCCGCGCCTAGGACGGCAGAATAGAGAGGGTGGCGTCCCCAACAGTACCCTCAGCAAGCGCACCCTCTGGTTTATCCGCGTCTAGGGAGGCAGAATAGATAGGGCGACGTCCCCGACACTACCCTCACCACCCGCGCCCGAAATTATATCCGCGCCTAGGACAGCAGAATACAGAGGGTGGCGTCCGCGAATTTAGGGTTGAGGGTGGCGTGACCGTCCTTTGCCTTGAGCGGCAGTTCAACTTGCTCCAGCCCTGGATGTTTCCCAGAGATGGGTTGTAGCTGGAAGGGCATCAGCTGTGAAAAAATGTGCTAGATAAGTTGGCGGTTCATTCCGCTGTGGCGACCCCAGATTAATAAAGAGACTAAGCCGACAAAAAATGAATGACTGTTTGAACTGTCTAAACTTTTAAAAATTACAAAGCACTCCGAGTTGAGCTCACCAAGCTGCTGGCTTTTCAAAAAATGAGATGCTTCCATTGAAAACAACTGAAAAAATCCCCGGCTTGGGATGAAAATGTTTCAGTGGAACTCCCCATAATGCTTAGGTCTACCCTTATTTGTCATTCTATGGCTTTGCATATTTTGAGTTGAGCACAAAACGTCTGTTTCGTTCCCATTTTACAGGTATGATGCCAGTCTGCGGCCGACCCCACCTCCTGATTATGGAACATCCCACCTTCATCACTTCGAAGATTGGGGAGTGGTGACCTATGGAAGTGCCTTGCCTGCCGGGAAAAACCACACATTTCTCTCCTTTAAGTCGGGGAAGCTTGGTGGACGTGCTATATTCGACATTGTTCACCAAAACAAGTACAAAGACTGGATCAAAGGGTGGCGGAACTTCAATGCAGGCCATGAGCACCCAGATCAGAACTCCTTCACCTTTGCTCCCAATGGAGTCCCGTTTATCACAGAGGCTTTGTATGGACCTAAATACACCTCTCTCAACAATGCTGTCATGTTCGGGCCTGCTGTGTCCGAGAGCTGCTTTGCACCATGGGAAGGCCAAGTTACTGAGGCTTGCAACTCGAAATGGCTTAAGTATAAGCACGGACAAGCAGCAGACTGCCACGGTCAGGTGGAGGCGGCTCTAGAGCAGCAGGGTATGGTGTTTATTCGTGGAGAGGGTCAAGCAGCATACAACCCCGAGCTGAAGATCAAGAACTTTCAGAGGAACTTGCTCCTGCTTCATCCTCAGCTGCTGCTGATGGTGGACCACGTTGAGCTGCATTCGGGCAGCCTAACGCGCAGCATGAGTGCCTTCTTCCACAACACAGACCTGCCTTTCCTGAAAACCCAAATCGATGGAGTTCACGGAGCCCTGATTAGACATGGAAATGAAACATCTAAGATGTTCTGGTTGGACGACACAGGCAGTAGTGAGAAAGCAGTTGTAGGATATAGGAGCTACCCCCGCGGATACCCATATAATGGATCCAACTATGTGAACGTCACTATGCCTCTGAGGTACCCAACCAGCAGATTAGCCTACATCTTCTTTGGATCAGGAGTGGATGTGCAGAGTTTCAGCGTACATGGAGACTCGGAAAGACTGGAGATCTATCTGGCCACCAGAGATCACACCTACAACATATATCTGTTCACAGATCAGCTGCCCACCAAACCTATGGCCATGGTGTTGGTGGACCAGCAGAAAGTGGTGTTTGAAAGGACAGCAGGGATCAAAGAGCAGCCAATAGAGGAAGTTGAGGAGTATGCTAATGTTGTAGAGGACAACCTTCAGCACGTCAAACCAGTCTTTCAGCAGCTGGAAAGGCACATCCTTTCTCGGGTGCTTAACACAGACACCTTCCACAAAACTGCCGAGCGCCTCTTAAAATCCTCAGACAAGAGGAAGACCTCTGGGAATATCCAGAAGATGTTTTCCCTTTCGAAGAAGAAGGGGAAAGGAGGCAAGAAGACCAGCTTCTCCGACAGCCTCCCGGACATCTTTGCACAGATTGAGGCGAGCGAGAAGAAGGAGAGGCAGCGGACCGTGAAACGCGTCTACGAGGAGCTTCCCGAGGAGGGAGATGGAGACTCCCGGGCCTTCGTTGATTATAGTGACTTAAGAAAGGGCAAGAAAGTGGGGTTTGTAAAGGGGCGGAAATTCAAAGAAGTTCGTGTGGGAGCTACGGCGGAGAGTGAGGATGTGTTTAGCACCACCTCCTACATTCGCCTTTTCCTCATTTCGAACATAGCCACTTTTTTTGTGCTCCTGGCCGTGCTGTTGACACGCTTCCAGAGGGCGCAGAGTTTGCACACGCAGCGCTGCCTGTACTGTGTGCTCCTTATTGACAGCTTCGTCTTGCTTTGCCTGTACTCCTCCTGCTCTCAGGCACAATGCTAACAGCAACACAACAGTCCATACTGTAAAGCAAGGGGTCAGCAATCTCAGTCCTGGAAGGCTGGTGTCTCTGCAGAGTTTAGCTTCATCTTGCCTCAGCACACCTGCCTGGAAGTTTCAAGTATACCTAGTAAGAGTTTTATTAGCTTGTTCAAGTGTGTTTGATTAGGGCTGAAGCTAAATTCTGCAGGACACCGGCCCTTCAGAAACAAGCTTGGTGACCCCTGCTGTAGAAGAATATGCCTGTTTACAGCACATGGCTCCTTCTCAGAGACCTGGAGTCTTTGTCTTGTTTCTAGTCCAAATATCTAAACATTCTTAACCCCTTCAGACCCTGCGTCCATAACAATGGACATCACATGACATCCCATTTTTCTGAAACTTGGAACATAATTCAGGTCTGAAGGGGTTAAATCAAGAAGCATTTTATAGACGAGCAAACACATTTTTTTTCCCCAAGCAAAGTAATCCACCAATGGGGTAAGCCAGGGGTGTCCAAGCTCGGTCCTGGAGGGCTGGTGTCCTGGAGAGTTTGGCTGCGTCCGAAATAGCATACTCCCATACTATATAGTTCGCTAGAATCAGTATGCGAGCTGAGTAGTGTGTCCGAATTCCTAGAATTCGAAAATCAGTATGTGAGAAGTACCAGGATGACTTACTACTTCCGGCGAGATTCTAGAGTGTGCATCCTATGCATGCTGCGCTATCCCATGATGCCCCGCGAGAGAATACATGTATGGGCGTGAAGCGACGCAATTTAATGCAGGTAGGTCTTGTGACCATGACAAAATGGCGGATGTAGTACGTCCGAATTCCATTCATACTTTTCACATTCATACTGTATAGAACGCACTTTTATATCGGCCGAGTCGTACGTTTAAATTCAAATGCAGTACCTACTGGGTAGTAGGCGGTTTCGGACGCAGCCATTGTCTCTAACTTGCTTCAACACACCTGCCAGGAAGTTTCTAACATATCTAGTAAGAGCTTGATTAGGTTGTTCAGGTTTGTTTGATTAGGGTTGGAGCTAAATGGGGACACCGGCCCTCCAGAACCGAGTGTGGACACCCCTGGGGTAAGCAAGATAATCTTGTTTTTTGCTTGTACTGAGCATTTGTCTTGTTTCCAGTCAAAATATCTGAGTAAGATTCTTTTTTTTCAGTGCCCAGTAACATCTTGAGGGATTTAATGTCCCTTTAATGTCTGCCCAGTGTTATCTAGATCCATTCCCAGTTCACTTCAAATCTTTGCACATCTGCTAATAACATGGACTTCAGTTCATCATAACGTGTAAAATGTAAATATGTTAAAGTATATTTTTGAGTGTTGTTTTATACCCTTCTTAATTAAAAGGCAACTGCAGAAGTGTCTGTAATTTCTTACTGGACCTTTTATATTTAAATATTGAATATTTATTTTAATGTACAGACCTTAGAGTGTAAAATCATAGCAGCGTGCCAAGCAGCACACTATGCATGCATGCACTATGTGCTTATGCACTTACACACTCAACAGCATACTGTATGTATGTTGTGCCGTCCCAAATGAACACTAATGTTTTATTTTACTAAGCGGAAATTCAACCCGTTTCCCTGATGATGTTTGACAGTTGCCAAATTAGTGAAATAAATGACCAAACTACCAAATAATACCTGCCGTGAGTATTACTGCATTCACCATCGGGAGGTGCTATAATCACTTTCACAGGACATCAGTGGCCGAAAGCTCTGCCTCTTCCGCTACGTGAGGAAAGCTCATAAGTGCATCATTCAGGTAATTAAAGTGCACTTATTAGAGTTTTTCAGAGTTATTTTAGAGTTTTCAGTGTGAACGCACAACTTACACTATTTATACTACTAAATGGCGTACAATAGTGCATATGTATGTGATTTGGGATGCACATCATGACTTCTATAGCTAAAATCTGTAATGAATAATATGCAATGCTGTAAATATATTCGTAGTGAAAAATCAGACAAATCCATTGTTTTAAATGTGGATTAACCCAGTCGTATATTGTCACAGCATTCCTGTTAATTAAAAATGAAAGCATCTTTATTTCTATAATGTAGATTGTGTCAAAGACGCTTTACATAGATAAACAGAGAGTGGGGGACGGACTAAATTTTCACTTCGTGGAGCATATTCAGCATGTGAGGCAGGTACTGTCCAATGCTAATATACAGTAGCTCCAGATAGATTAAAAATTTGTATTCATACCATGAAGGCCACCATGATCAAAATCAATCAAAATCTCAACCACACATCGGGTCATCTGCAGAGAAACTGCCTTGGCCACCAGTGGATATTTCAGCACAACAACGACCCAAAACACAGTAAAAGTGGTGAAGAAATGGCTTGTTTAGCAGTGGCCCACCCAGAGCCCTGATTTAAATCCAATTGAGAATGTGTAAAGGAGCTAAAGGTCAGCGTGATAAGGAGACTCTCCGACCTGAAAGAGTCGGAGCTCCTCGCTAAAGATGAATAGGCAAAAATAGCAGTGAACACATGCCAAACATTGGACAGCAATGAAACTCTCAGAAATAAAGGTACTTGAGCTGTCACTGGGGTGGTTCCTTTTCAAAAGGAGCACATTTGTACTTAAAGGGTCCATATTGGTACCTCAAAAGTATATATTAGTGCCAACAATTTTCAAGAGGAACACTTTTGTACTATTTAGGTACTAATTTGCACCCTTAAGGAATTAATATTGACCTTTTAGCCACAAATTTGTACCTTTTGAAAAGGCACAGTGACAGCTCGCCTACCTTTATTTCTAAGAGTGCACAGGAGGAGTTTGATTGATGTAATAGCCAATAAAGCCTTTTCTGTTGATTACTGAGAATAATATGGATAATTTTGGACCCTCTTTGTTGTTCAAATGTAAATAAAAGCTTAGCTCACCCCAGTAATGCCTCTTGTTCATCGTTTTACTATGTTTTGCGAGAAGCCTGTGTCACTTCTGGTCCAAAAAACCAAACTTGCTGGTTGAATAAAAGTCAGAATTCTGCAGGGGTGTGATTAATTTTGCTTGGCTTGACTGTTGATATGTATTGGAGATGTACAGTGCATACGGAAAGTATTGATAGCGCTTGACTTTTTCCACATCTGTTTATGTCACAGTCTTATTCCAAAATGGATTAAATTGATTGATTTCCTCAACATTCTACACACAATCCCCCATAATAACTATGTGAAAAAGAGTTAAAAATAAAAGCTGTAAAATCAGATGTACATCAGTATCCTTTGCTCAGTACTCTGTTGATGCACCTTTGGCAGCGATTACAGCCTCAAGTCTTTCTGAATATGACGCCACATTGCAAAAAATGCTTTTCCTACTTAGATTTAGTCTTGTTTCTAGAATAAATATCTACAAACTCTTAAATCTAAAAGCATTTTCTAGACAAGCAAAACATACAGTCTTGTTTTAAGAAATGATATGCCAGTATTAAGTCAGTTTTTTTCTTAAAGCAAGCAAAATAATCAGCCAATGGGATAAGCAAAATAATGATGTCAAAAAGAAAAGCAAGGTTATTGTATAAAGTGAATGTGCATTCATTAAAATAATGGCGTTTAAAAGGGATTGGGTGACACCTGGGGGCTTGTAGTGGAAAAGCAGGTCAAGTGCAAACTAAATGAGAGGGGTCTGGCTGCAGACTCGGTGCAGATGCAATCTGAGCTGCATCCAATGCTTTTTAATGGGCTCACCTAACCCTACCCGTCAGTGACGTCACTCCATTGAGTGCATTGTGTCTGACGGTGCATCGCTGAGTGATGCAATCTCAGCTTGCATCATAAAGGCTGCATCCAGATGCTAGATTTAGTGAACCTGTCCTGTAAGCTCAATAATGGATGTGGATTAATAATGGAAATATTTTCAATGCAGTTTCAGGGCTGGCCTGCTGCTCCTGACACTTTTGTTTGTCGTTTTAAGCTTGCTCTACTGAAAAAAAAAACAGCTTAAACCAGCTTAGGCTGGTTGGCTGGTATTAGTTGGTCAGCCAGGCTGGTTTTAGAGGGGTTTTAGCCATTTCCAGCCTGGTCTTAGCTGGTCCAAATCCAACTTGACCAGCCTTGCCAGACTGGGAGCCCAGCCAAAACCAGCTATGTCCAGCTTAAACCAGGCTGGTCAAGCTAGTTTTAGCTGGATTTAGTTGGTCATTTTCCAGCCTGACCAGCTAAGATCAGACTGGAAACGGCCAAAACCCCTCTAAAACCAGGCTGGTCAACCAGCTAAAACCAGCCAACCAGCCTAGGCTGGTTTAAGCTGGATTTTTTAGCAGGGTGGGCAGCTAAATGAATGCTTAAGTCTATTTAACTAATAATATTTTAATTACTTTACAACATCTATGCTATAAAAGGAACCTTATGAAATCGAAAATGGTCACATGATAAACCGTTCACCGGAGGTTTACCGGTAGCTGTAAAAGGTTAGCTGTGCACTCGATTAGCATGACCTGGTGTTACACACACCTTTGTACTGTAGGCGGCGGTGTGCACCTAAAAGCTGTTTGCGTTCCGCCATTAACCAAGAGAAGAAGATGATGGCTAACAAGCAGCTTGCGCTCCAAGTTGTCTGTGCGCTGATTTGCAGCGAAAAACAAAAGCAGAAAAAGAAAAAGAAGCGATTATGGAAGAGACATTATGTGGAGAGACGAGGCCGACCAGCACCGGCTGCTCCGACGCGCGAGCTGGAGGAGGAGACGGTAATGCAGTACTTTGTCTAGTATGAAAGGACAGGAGACCACTGTGTGCGGGTCAACAAAACGCTGCTCTGGACTTAAATCTTATTAAAAGCGTGTTTATTCTGATAGGAACTTATTTCAGCAAGACGACCTCAGGGAAGGAAGATAAACACAAATGAATTACCTAGAAGGGATGAAGAGATACAGCTGCGGCCGAAGTAAACGAGAATTATATTACTGATTATTACATTACCCGTTACTTTAATAACGTCTACCCCAACCATCACACTAGGCTAAAGTAAAAACAGTAATTATATCGAGTTATAAATGTTATTCATCAAATTACCCATAAAATAGTAGTTTAACCCCCCAACATTAACCACAGCCATCATAATAGTAAGTAAAAACTGAGTATTATTCATATAGTTTATCAAATTACCCATTAAATTGTATTTTATTAAAGTCTACGCCAAGCATCACACTAATGTAAAAATAAGATTTATTTTGTTGTAGTGTTACAAAAGTTATGCTATATTTACGTATGTATCCGCAGCTGTATCCCATTTGGACTTTCAGCTGATAATCTAACGGATGATGGATGATATTTACATGTGCATCACCTGAATATTAAGGTAAAGTTGTTTTTATATTAGCACGTTCAAAAATTGTATTTAAAAAGCCTAATAAGGATTAAATATCATTACTATATCAGATATCATTTTAAAACAGCTGATGAGTGCTGTGACTGTCTTCATTCCAGCGTAAATAAATGAAATTATTTTACTAGTAATATGTAATAGGCTAAATTAAACTTTGCATTATACTGTTCCTTTATAATAACTACATACGGGAATTAAACTAGAAGATGTGGCTCATGTTAGTGATTCAGAAATGGAGATTTCTGGCTCAGAAAAGCTGAGTTTAGTTCGTTTTATATTTTCACATTCACACTTTGATCGGGAAATCATATTATAAGCTAATGACTATCAAAACAAATCATTGTTTATAGTCAATTGAATAGTGCTAAAGTTGTTTTGAAGTCATATTTACATGCGATTTCCGACCGAACACTTAAGAATAGTTGTTTTTCCTCACCATACAAATAGATGACACCGAATGCTGGCTTGAAAGATCTGCCGTGGATGACATCAGAGGAGTTTGAGTTCCTGCTCAGCGTGGTCGGACCCCTCATAACCAAACAGCATACGAAGATGAGACGGGCGATAACCGCTAAAGATCGCCTGTATGTCACCTTGCTGTTTTTGGCAACAGGTGGGTCTGCCAGAGCTAAATATTAAACAATATTACAGTGATGATTCATTCTAAAGGGGACCTATTATGCAAAAGTCACTTTTGTAAGGGGGTTGTGAGGCAGCAGTGTGTGATTATAGCCAGCTTAATTAACTGTATTGTTTATAATCAGACTTGACTAAATCAGTCTGCTGAAACACTGTGATTGACATTCTCCCTTTGTACATGTCATCAGAGGGGGAAAGCCCCGCCCACTAGTGACCATCTCTCCCTCATTAGCATAGGGCGTCAGTCTTGTTTCTGAATCTGCCACTATGCTAATGCACAGGCATCTGTAGCTCCGCCCTCTTCAGAAAAGAGCACAATCTCATTTGCATTTAAAGCGCAGTCACCAAAACACCACAATTAGCATTAAAGCCTGAAAGGGGGAGTTTCAGAGAGTTATAAAACATTATCTGTGTGGTGTTTTGAGCTGAAACTTCACTACACACTCTAGTGCAGGGATGTCAAACTCAGTTCCTCGAGGGCCGCAGCTCTACACAGTTTAGTTCCAACCCTAATTAGACACACCTGATCAAACTAGTTGAGTCCTTCAGGACAGGTAAGTGTGTAGGAGCAGGGTTTGCACTAAACTGTGCAGGGCTGCGGCCCTCCAGGAATTGAGTTTGACACCCCTGCTCTTGGGACACCAGAGACTTATTTCACTTCTTGTAAAAAGGGGCAGAATAGGATCCCTCATTTGGATTTACTCATTTGTGTTTACTAAAGATTGATGCAGCGATTGTCTGTTTTCTCTCACCATTAAATCTATTTATTTTTAAATGTGACATTTTAAAGGCTGCTAAGCTAGATTTATTTATATACTAAACTGAGAACACTTGGATGAAGGTTTTTAACAGGGTTTTCCACAGGTCACGGAGTTTCTGCAATATGATTTGAGTTTTGAATGCTCTATTCCAGACACTGAAAGTCAGGGAATCCTTGTGTATTTTTGGCCAAGTCATGCACTATCAGGAATCCCCGTTAGCCATGTTTTCATGCCTGTTGTTATAGTTAGGCTATTTGTGTGTGAACTGTCCCTTTAGTGATCTACTAATATACATTTTAACCATTTATTTGGCATGCAGGTGAAACGTTCAGTTCACTCAGTGCACAGTACAAGATTGGGGCCAGCACTACTTCGCAGATAGTTATGGAGACCTGCGCCGCCCTGTACCAAGTCATGAAAAAAGACTATCTGAAGGTAGGCATGGATCACTCCCATATACTCAAGTGCTGTACTTACAATACAATTAGGGAAAAATAAGCTGTAAAAGAAAATAAATGAATGCAGTGACCATGATTATACTTTACAACTTCAGTAGACTAAGTGCTGTGACGTTAACACATTCATTTATTCAGTTTCCTTCGGCTTAGTCTCTTATTCATCAGAGGTTGCCACAGCGGAATGAACCACCAATTATTCCAGCATATGTTTTATGCAGCAGATGCAACTCATACTACATTTATTCATGCGCACACACACACACACACACACACTCATACAATACAGCCAGTTTAGTTGATCAGTACCCCTATAGCGTATGAGTTTGGACTGTGGGGGAAACCGGAGCACCCGGAGGAAACCCACGCCAACATGGGGAGAACATGCAAACTCCACACAGAAACACCAACTGACCCAGCCGGGACTCAAACCAGCGATCTACTTGCTTTTAGGCTGCAGTGCTAACCACTGAGCCATTGCGCCGCCCACCTTAACACATTAAACAGTTAACACAGCTCAAAATTAAATGCCAAGAAAGTTCTTTCTTCTGCTGAACCCTGAAGACAACCCAGTCTCACGGCAGAGAGTGTCACCCCATTCACACGGGGCTTCAGCGTCAACGCTTGACTGAAGGCGTGTCTGAAGTTGGGGCTGAAGTGATCATCATAGCAGCGTCAGCCAATGAAATTCAGTCAGCAATAGGCCACTGTCTAGCTGGTGTATTTACATACAGCAATCTGATTGGCTGACGCTTCCGCTTGAAACTGCACTTCTGCAGTTCGACAACACTTGACGACGTCACCCATTCAAAGTGAATGGGAAGCCTTGGCGCTGACACCCCGTGTAAATGGGGCGTTAGTGTTGGGTACCGAAACCCTTTGGACCAAATCAGCATGTGAATTTCGGTGCCGAATTCCTGTGCCACTGGTGCTGCGACAAGAACGTAATGCTGGTCGCATACCAGAAGCGCTACTCGACGATACGCAGTGCCATGCATTTTAGAATTCGCAAGTTGTCCGCTGTCCGCGGCGCCCAGCCACAACTTCTTTCGCGGCATCAGAATAGTTTCATTTTAAATAACATGCGAATGTGTGCGTCTGGTGTGATACTATCAGCTGTCATGTGCGCGCCGTGCCACAGCTCTGAGAGGCGCATCCGATGTGTGACGCCCTTAAGAAGCGTAAAGGGATGCATCAAAGGCGCACATAAGTACACGTTGTGCCACACCATTTCTAAATATTTCATTCTAAACAGCTTTGAGGGATTCGGATGTCCGGCGTTTGTTCTTGTTGCTTATAGAAGGCAAAGCGCGCAGTGCGGCGCATGCGGTGAGCAACTCCCTCATCAACACGCATGATCGCGCTCATCTAATTTTGTGGCTAAAAAGTATCGGTTCAGGCACCGTTTTGGCACTGGTACCATATAAAGAGTATCGATTTAGGTATCGAAATAAACCAAAACGATACCCAACCCTAGTCCCTGTACACTCAGTAAACAGCGGTAAGTTTGGTGAACTGATGACCTTTAGGGCCAATCGCAGCCATTTCTGTTGAGCACATGAACACAATGGCAGATTGTGACGCTCAAATGTTAGCTGGAAAAGGACGTTTTTAAAATCTCAGTACCAATTGGTACCGTATTCCAGTATCGTGACGACCCTAATCAGTGTACAGAAATGTAGTTTACATGCTAACTGTTCTGTCTTCTGTTGCCAGACGCCATCGACAGAGGCAGAATGGAGGACAATAGCTCATGACTTTGAATCGAAATGGCAATTTCCACACTGCTTAGGTGCCCTTGGTGGAAAACGCATCTATATACAACCTCCAGCAAAAACAGGCACCTTCGATAACTATAAGGGCAGATGCTTTGTGACTGCAACGGCTGCCGTGGATGCAAATTACAAGTTTATCTATATCAGTGTGGATACGCATGTGACGGCGTCTGATGCTGGACCCTTCGCTCAGTCGGGCTTGTGCAAATGGATGGATTCAGGTCTGCTGAACTGTCCTCCTCCTGAACCGTTGGCCAACAGTGAGCTGAAGATACCGTACATGTTTGTGGGCGATGAGACTTATCCTTTGAGGCCTGACTTGATGACGCCGTATCCAAGCAAGCCGACCGACCGCAGTCAGCAGATTCTGAACTACCGTCTTTCGAGGGCGCAGCGAGCGGCGGATAATGCTTTTGGCATTCTGGCGAACAGATTCAGGTTTTTGAGGAACACAATATATTTGGAGCCAGAAAAGGTGCTGAAGATACTCACGGCTTCGCTGTGCATCCATAACTTCCTCCTGGAGCGCAGGTCTGAAGGATATGCACCTCCAGGCCTTGCAGACTGGGAGAATGAGGAACACAGCTTGGTTGAAGGAACTTGGCGGGATAAAGGGACTGGATCTTTACGGCCTGCGGAGCAAAAGAGGGAATGCAGTGCATCAGCTACAGCAGAAATGCAACAAAGCTTGCTGTGTGACTATTTCGTCTCGCCTGCTGGTTATGTTCCTTGGCAGGAGCAACACGTCAGCAACGAGGGGGAACTTCTGCTCGTCACATTGTAGTTTTTATTTATTTATTTTATATTTTAGGTATTATTTTTGATCTAATTTATTTTTTATAGCACTTTTTTTTTCATTTTATATAACACTCAAACTACTTTAACAGATTTGAGGAGCATCTCCACCACCAGTGTCCAGCATTTAGATGACGCAACAGCAGCCAATTTGTGCCAGACTGCAAATCAGCTTATTGGTGAAGATGACCGACTGATGACGCAATTATGATATGAGGATGGTTGGAAAGCCATGATGGACAAATGCCAGTTTGGCCAGGATACCGGGGACACCCCTACTCTTTTCAAAGGACGTCCTGGAGCAGTACAATGATCACAAAGAGTCAGGACTTCAGTTAACCATCTCATCTATAGGATGTTGCGCAATACAGTGGCCCCTGGTTATTCGCAGGAGTAACCGTGAAGTATTCCGCTTTATTTTTTACAATTATTATAGATGTTTTAAGACTGTAAAACCCCTCACTACACACTTTATACACTTTTCTCAGACAGGCATTGCCTTTTCACACATTTCTCTCTTGTTTTAATACTCTTAAAGTTCATACCTTTGTAGAAAAACACGTGCAATATCCGCTTGTTAAGTGGTGACGTGTTTGTGACGTATGTAATACTGTTTCCGGGTCCAAGCCGCCATTCATTTGAGTGGAGAAATCATTCGTTTATGATCGCGTTTTATTCCTGTCCCACATTAAAGTTAATTTTATATCAAATCATAGTGTACACAACAATCTCTGGGCTTGCTGCATAACAATTACCAAAAATTTAACAATTTATAAAAAATTCCTCACTTTCTGGCCATCGGATATTAGGCATGGACACATATACTGCCATCGTGATTTTCGAAAGTCTTAAATCACTTTGTAAACGTTTATTATTACCATTTCATGAGTCTCCCCATTCAGTTGAATAGAGCGGTTGGACCCGGAAACCGCTTCGCGTGACGTCACACTTAACAAGAAGATTACGGACATCCCTAGTAGGGAAAAGGCATTGCCGGGGGAGACATCGATGATGCAGACTGCATATTACGGATCCTACATTCAGCAATCCAGTCTCTATGTTTGGTTTTTTTTAAGAGCTCGAACAGTTTTCTGTGGTATTGCATTTTACAATCTAAATAGAAGACGCATTGTTAAAATGCACAGTTGTAACAAATAGTTGCACTCCTAATGTAGTTACTCCATGAATATGAAGGTGTTTTACACTAAGCCAGTTGAGCTACATGTTTTACTATTACTTATTAATTAGTGATGGGCGTTTCTGACCATTCTTCATTTCGATTAGTCCACAGGTTTGACAAACGAGTACTCGATTAATCGGGGGTGGAGCTTAAGCAAGAGGCGGGGCTTGTGTGTGTCATAGCGACAATTAAATAAAATTCAATTTTAAATATATTTTATTTAAAGCCCTGTTAAAAATATTCAGATCCGAAACCTACGTTTACAATTCTGAAATGCGCTGCGTGGGCCGTGGCGCGACGCGGCGCTTCTGCTGTGTGCCCCCCTTTACTCAATCTGCGCTCAGGTCTCGTCTCTAGACCGCAACTCCCTGCAGCCATAACCCATCAAATATCAAACTACCGCCCAAATAAAACCATAACCAATCAGAAAGAATGAAAGTGATTTAATTATACAGCCAATCGGTTATCGTTTTCATGCTTGATCATCGCTGATGCGTTCGATTAATCAAATAATTGTGCACATCTCTATTATTAATACATTTTGTACATCTGTGTCATGGAAATCTAACATGCATCTTTTGGAAATGATGCTGATTAAGAGACCCAGATCCGTTGTGTAGAATAGACGATGCAGTTAGCCCTCCAGCAGTGTAGTACTTGCTTTACTGCAGTCCATCCTGGTTATAAGCAAAGAGCAGGTTTCCAAGGTCCCCTTCAAATACCCCAAGGGATGTCTGCACTTCGCTCGTGAGGATTATAAATAAATAAATAAATAAATAAACATATATATATATATATATATATATATATATATCCCTAAATGCTAAAAATATTATTACTTGTTGGGGTGTAAAAATGTAACATCCTGTGGTCCTCCATGATCTTCTGCCATCTCACTTACAAAGTCAATGTTTGGTCATTTCTGCCATTTAAAGTCAGATTTTTGAAGAGCAACACATGCACTGTGTAGTATTCTTCTTCGGCGGGCCACAACAATGACATGGGTGTTCAGGTATAAATAGCCACAGGGTCGTGTTGGGTGTTGCCTCAGCAGAGGAAACATATTTAAGAGATTGAGTTGAGAGCAGAAGTGAAAGCCTTCATGGAGAAGGATGGAGTGGCGGTTCCTGTGCCTAGTGATCCCAACTGGCTCATGAACTTCGCTCGTCTAAGTCAGTACTTTAAAGTAATTGTGATGATCCAAGATCGGATGTTTTAAATAACAGAATTCCATCAGTCACAACAGGTTACAGCACAATATCAACACTCTGAAGGAGAAGTAAGTTCCAATGGCCATTGCCCCTTTCAATAACATCTACAAATATAAGAGGAGTGTGGCGCCAGACACACCACGACTGAGCAGCATTCAAGCCTAGGTGTTTGCTACTCTCATTACCTTTCTAATCGCCTGGCCTGTTTGTACGATCAGTATAACCATGACTGAATCTCTGTGTTCTGTTGCAGAGTGCATTTACACTGATGTGTTTGCTTTTTTACAAGGTGCTGAGAAACCAGCTTAAGTTCATGCTGTACAATGATATCCACAGAATAGATGTTACTGCAATGGAAATTTAAAGTGCAATGAATTTAAAATGGACGAACGTTTAACAGCATACAAGGAATTTAGAGATGGACTATCACAGAGTACCCTGCAGAGTTCATTGTGACCTTCTTTGGAGTGAAGAACCAGTTGTGGATGATTAAACAGAGTTTGAGCTTCATTCTTGCTAACCAGGCAAAATCTACAAATGTGTTCCACTGAAAGGTTCAACAAATCCCAATGAGCTGTTTAAAGCAAGATTATCCCCCATAACTTGTATTGCAGAACCAAACAAAGAATTTTCAAGTCATCAATAAGAGTGTTCAGAATCTTATCAGAACCGTAAGTCTTTAAATCATCGTTTAAAACGGAGACACAAGATGATTGATCATTAACACAGGGTTGCGTTTAGGAGGCAGATTTTTTAAAGTAAAATGAATGCAGTTTAGTTTGTGGACACTCCTTTTTAAACCCAAAGGATTCAGTCTCAAAGTCATCGTGATGAATGAAGTTCATTCATAAACTAATTTTAATTTAATTTTCTCATTTAGTAGGGGGAAATCTTGGCGTTCGTCCACTTCATGCAGTGTTTTTAGGGATGGTGTTGAGGAGTTTTCTGAACCCGTTATATGTACAGAAAGATCTCACACATCCTGCTTCTCCACAATTCAATCACAAGGTTATGCGTGGATATAATCCATGGTGTTGACAAAGTTGTGAGCAGTCTTTTAGGTGTGCTTTGCAAACAAACAAGTCAACGTCTCCCGGAGTCGGTTTGTCAGTTCTCGTGGAAGCAGTCTGGCTTGAAGTTCTTTCGTGAGCGCTCCTTTGCACAGCTTCAATGCTGTCCACTGTGGTTTGCACAAAAGTGTAGAAATTTCAGAGCTTCAGCATAAGACAGGTTAAAGATGAAGTGAGCTTTGAACAGCTCGTCGAAAGCTGCTGCAGAAGTTTGAGCCTTGCATGGTACAGCCTTCTGGTCTGGTTTAGTTCTTGCACTCCCTAATGCAGAGGAGAAGAGGCTGTCTGCATCAGCACACTCAAGACATGTGCAGAGGCTATCTCCTGCCTGTTGAATAATAACATAAAAATGTTAGTTGAGTTTTCACAAGCAATAACAGTCGCCCTAAATGGAAAAGATTTACAATTAGCATCCCATTTTACCAAAGTATTAAAGTTATTATTATAATAAACACATTTGAATTAGATTTTTAGTAAATAGGATAGCACTTGAGATCATTTCGAGGGGTTCCCTAATTATACCCAACTTAAGGTACCTCACGAGCTTTGCAGCTTGAGCTGAACTGATCTTGGCTGATTTCTGACGTCCTCTTGAAGTTGGGGCTCGAAGATACAGGAGCAAAAGAACAAATCCTCACCACTGACGAAAGATAGGATTAAAAAATAACACCACATGAGTTAATCTAATCAAACAAAACCTTTTATACTTTAAAACATTTAATAATTAAATGATAAGTATAAAACACTTGTGTCCAGAGTAATATAGTATGTTATTACAAAAAAAAAGCTAATGTTATTTGAATTAATTCATCACATTTGTTGCTATAATTTAACTTCTTATTTATTCTTAGGCACAAAACACACCCGCCGATTTCAGGTGCTGCTAGTAACACTTTGCTATCGATAATGACAGCGGTATATATAAATCCTCACCACTGAAAAAAAGCCACTGACTAAAACTAATATAATTAACCCCTTACAAAAATTGACTGCGGTTTAAAAATAAATACTGCAGCTGTCACGCCGTGAATTACCATCCGCCTCACCAGACTACTAATCACCCACACCTGCACCTGCACTCACCAGCTCACTATAAACTCACCTCATTCAGTCACTCTCTGACTGGAACCAAAGTCAGATGGTTGTCCTTGACGACTCCTCCCTCCTTTCCTGTCTTCCTTAAAAAGTTCATACAAAAACAAGCATGAAATCGTACAGTTTAATGATAGAATGCATCCTTTATCACTGCCAGCTTCCATACATACATACATTACATGTATTACCTTACATACATTGTACATACATAAGATGTCGCCTACCCTGCTGTTGTCTATTGGATGGAATGCGTCAATAGAGCCGCCATTTTAGTACAGGGTAGCGCTTCCTTGACCAAGGGGGACCAAGCTGCAGAGACAAGAGATGCACACATATATCTATGATCAGGTGTTTTCCCGGTGGTCAGTGCGCAAATATATTTTTAAATTACGAAAACAAAACATCTTGTCATATATATATATATATATATATATATATATATATATATATATATATATATATATATATATATATATATATACATTGTTTGCTGATTTTATTTAACAAAACTAGCATAAGCCTTGTGTTTAGTGTGAGCTGGTGCTACTTTGCCTTATGGCGAATGCAGTAAGGGACTGTATTATCATCAATAACGTTATTTGTTGAGCACAAAAGTTCGTAACATACAAAACCATAAGCAAAATCTCACCTATGAAATGTTCCGCCTTTGTGCTTTGTTGTTTTTGTTTGCTCGTTATGACACACGTACACAGCGCTAAAGTCTAGCATCTTTATGTTGGCACCCTGTCTTGACTAGTGAGGTTGAATGACTTTTGTAATTGGAGCACTGTACAAATGTGGCAGCGCTATTGACGCATGCTCAGGGTCCGTATGCTTCTCCATCAAATGATGTCACTTCCTTTGAGTCATATCCCTAAGCATGTATTGCACACATTTTATGTTAAAATTTCATGCGAAAGTGACAGGACTGGCATGGAGACAGTTGTAAAATATAATTTATTTGTGGAATTTATTTATAATTTGATGTATTTAATGATGTGAATGTTGATTAAACTCGCTTTTTCTGAAGAGTTTTTGACTAAATAACAGTTTGTTTGTTTGTTTGTTTGTTTTTTTTGCATAAAAAATCTATTAAAGCTGTAGCTTTGGGCTGAGGACAAGCACAGTGACCGGGTTTGTGCAGTGTAGTGTTATTAATAAAGAAAAACGATCTGAGAACCAAATGAATGACACTCCTTTACAGAACATATCATAGAAGTCAATCATCTTCATGTTAAACATGTTTTGGGATCAAATACTTTTAATTCACTGTATTTATGTTATTATTTGAGGGACAGATAATGTACGCTTCAGATTGAATGTCCTTTATATAGTTGTGTTCAACCCTCTACCCCCGATGGGCGTGGTTTTAAGTACTGCTTTGACACAAAACTCATACATATTCATACATGCTCCGCCCAGTGAAACTGAAAATTTCTGACACCTCAGAACGACCGAGTCCACTATTGCGCATTGAGATCCTGATTTGTGTGTATGATGAAGGCAGAAGGCATCCCGGGCATCGAGCAGTTCGCCAGCCCGGGCAAGGGCAGAGGTCTGCGGGTGAGCAGAGCATATGGAGTCGGTGAACTACTGTTCTCGTGTCCCGCATATTCATACGTGCTGTCTGTGGGAGAGAGAGGACTCATCTGTGAACAGTGCTTTACGAGGTCTGACAGTCATTTTTTTAAACTTTAAAACACATTCTGTTGAACATTGTTTATTCATTAGGTGATAATGTTCACTCTTTTAGAGGTGAAGTTTGTAACTTATTATTATTATTACTTGTTATTCTAAAAATTGAAATCAAATTAGCAGCCAATGAATATTAAAGAACACTGTTTACAGCCATTTAAATAGTGCTAATGTTGTTTTGAAGTCAATCTTACATGGCTGAATATTCAAGTATCATAATAAACAATTTAGGGAACGTTGTAGAACTAATTTACGAATATAAAACCAACCTCAGTGTAGAATAGTATCTAAAACTCTTCATGGTTGCTTGATATAAATTACATTTGTGACCGCAAAACCAGTCATAATTGTCAACTTTTGGAAATTGAGATTGATATGTTAGTTAAACATGATATCAAAAAAACCTATTATTATTAAAGATATTTTCTTAACATAAAACTTATTTGGCATGAAAATAAAGTCATTTTGACCCATACAATGTGTTTTATCTGGTCAAACTAAGACATTTTTTGACCCAGGGTCACATTTGCAAACTCATCTTGTAATAAAGAGGATTTTTACATACTATTTACAATTGAGTACACGTTACGTGGATTAATTAGGTTTGTTTTATTTGAACACTGGTAAAGCTGAATGAATGACTTACTTTAACAGCACGTGTAGCGCTTCAAACAAGCTTTGTGTGTTTGTGTGTGGTCAGGAGAGAGAGATGCTGGGATTTAACTTGAGTCTTCCACTTTTAAGATTCATTATTTACACATCAGTTTCTCTGATTTTAGATGCATCTCTTTTTTTATGACAAGAAGCTTATGACAAGGGCTCGTCTAAAAATACAACCAAATGTCTAAAAGCAGCTGAGCAAATCTTCTGGACATTTGCTCCAGCCCGGGTTGAGTGGGTGTAAGTGTCTGCGCCTGTCAAGCGTAGCAGACACACCGGGACAGCTGATGAGGAAAGGCTGCAGCCTTAAAGGGACAGTCCACGCAAAAAAAAAACTAACTCACCGTTTACTCACCCTCGTACGGCTCTAAACCTTTATGAGACTCTTTTTTATGTTAAATACAGAAGAAGATATTTTGAAGACGGCTGAAAACCTGTAACCATTGACTTCCATAGTAGGAAAAGCAAATACTATGGAAGTCAATGGTTACAGGTTTCTAGCTGTCCTCAAAGTAATGTGCTCTGTGTTTGGAACACAAACAGGTTTGGAACAAGTGTCAGAGTTTTCATTTTTGGGTGAACTATCCCTTTAAGGCAGGGGTGTCCAAACTCAGTCCTGGAGGGCCGGTGTCCTGCATTGTTTAGCTCCAACTTCTTTCATGACACCTTTCTGGAAGTTTCTAGTATACCTAGTAAGAGTTTGATTAGCTGGATCAGGTGTATTTAATTGGGGTTGGAACTAAAATATGCAGGACACCGGCCCTCCAGGACTGAGTTTGGACACCCCTGCTGTAAGGGCCTTTTCTGTTGTGTTTGGTGCCAGCAAATTTCAAGAATTCATTCATTAATTACTGATTGTTTTGTTATTTCATTCATTCATTTTATTCTCAGCTTAGTCCCTTTATTAATCAGGGGTCGCCACAGCGGAATGAACCGCCAACTTATCCAGCACATGTTATACGCAGCTGATGCCCTTCCAGCCGCAACCCAACACAGGGAAACCTATTCACACTCATACACTACAGCTAATTTAGCTTATTCAGTTCCCCTATAGCGCATGTGTTTGGACTGTGGGGGAAACCGGAGCACCCGGAGGAAACCCACGCCAACATGGGGAGAACTTGCAAACTCCGCACAGAAATGCCAACTGACATAGCCGGGACTCGAATTAGTGACCTTCTTGCTGTGAGGAGATCGTGCTACCCACTGCGCCACCATGGCACGCTTTTTTGTGATTTATTGAGTGTAAATGAACTTGTTAGTTTAATATGTAGTGATGGCGGTGTGTTTATTCAGAAACACTGATTGGTTGTGTGTTTATTCTTTATTGTGTGCAGGAAAAAGGGTCTTGCCAAATGCGGAAAGTGCAAAAAAGCGTTCTACTGCAATGCGAACTGTCAGGTAAAACACTCACAGACACAAATAATCATCCACTTCTAATTCTACACGAACAGACTAAAGCGGTAAGAGCAGCAGATAATAACTGGTCTTCTAGCTGATGATGTGTAAGAGTGTCAGAAGGTGGATTTCTCTGCTGGATCATCTGCTGATCTGCATCCCAATCATCACCAATACTGCAGAAGACCTACTGGAACCAGCATGGACCAAGATTCTCACAGAAATCAGTCAAGTTTGGTGAAGGAGACATCATGGTTTGGGGTTCATTCAGTATGGAGAGATCTGCAGAGTGGATGATCAACATCAACAGCCTGAGGAATCAAGACATCTGTGCTGCCCATTACATTACAAACCACAGGAGAGGGACAATTCTCCAGCAGGATAGCGCTCCTGCTCATACTTCAGCCTCCACATCAAAGATCCTGACAGCAGAGAGTGCTCCAGGATTGGCCAGCCCAGTCACCAGATATCAACAATATTGAGCTGATGAAGGAGGAGGTGTTGAAGATGAACACAAAGACTCTTGATGAACTCTGGGATCCTGCTGAAGGCTTTCTTCTTCATTCCAGATGACTTTATTAATCAGTGATGTGAGTCATGTCAGAGATGTATGGATGCAGTCCTCCAAGCTCATGATGGAGTCAGACACAATCTTCATTCTGTCTCCACTGCAGCAGGACTTTATATTCTATACTGGACATTATTTCTGTTCAGTGATGAGACTTTAGTCTGAGCAGAGTCAGAGCGCACTGTCCTCATCAAATCAGTCAACATCAAGACATGATCAGATTTATTGAGCTCAAATCAGCAAAATCTAGAGGCCTTCACCTTTCATAGAGACACTTCTGACACCAAATCATCAACTAGAAGAACAGATATTATCTGCTGTTCATAAAACTTGAATAGGAGACAAGACTTTTGTCAGGTAGTGTACAGTGTTCATTCGTGCATCAATAAACTCTCCATTTATAATGTCTTTAATTTGCTAACATTATGTTCAGCAAGTCTTGGCATCAAACCTCTAATACCCGATGGCTGCTTCTTTTTTAGGCCTTTCTTATGCTAATGAGGGAGACTGTTTTTATCAAATGTGATTACAAAAAGTTGGTCCCCTTTAACATTAACTCACCTGCCCGTTTTGTCTGCATTTGACAGAAAAAGAACTGGCCCATGCACAAGCTGGAGTGTCAGGCCATGTGTGCATTCGGAGAGAACTGGCGCCCCTCAGAGACGGTGCGACTGGTGGCCAGAATCATCGCCAGGCTGGTCAGATACATCTAGAGTTGTTTTACTTATATACAGAATCAATGAGTGTTTGATGTGTGTTTGCTGATGCAGAAAGCCCAGAAAGAAAGAAGCCCGTCAGAGATTCTGCTCTTACTGGGGGAAATGGAAGCCCGTAAGTACTAGAAAACAACAAGCGCATCTATCAGAGAATAAAATCATGGTGGACGATTGAAGTCTCTCAGGACTTTTGATAGTCAATTTATTGCAACCTAGGCTCATCCTAAATATGTACTCCTATATACATTCCTGGAGAGTGCCAAATATGTTCCAGGAGCTACATTTTGTTGTTTGTTTTTGTAAATCCACCAGAGGCCGCTGTGTAGGCTATTTCAGATCTTAAAGGGTCACGAAACACCAGAACACATGTGTTGAGCTGTTGACAGTGGTATATGTGTCCTGCACTGCTATAAACACTATTAGGGCACTTATATTTCACTAAAAAGTGTAAATTGGTTGTTTTTGCGTTATTTCAAGCAAATTCGTACTTCCGGTTTGAAACGAATTGTTGAAGCTGCGTCACGGTCATGACATAATAGCGTGTATTCCAGCGTGCAGACTGGACGTCTGTGCCAGAGTGTGTCTTATTATGTCTTACAGTGTGCTGCATTAATGCATGAGTAAAGCTCGGTTCAAACCAATCAGCGCGCTCTATTGTGCAACTTCATTAATATTCATTACTGTCACAGTGTTTAGACGACAGAGACGCCACGTTGTGTTGGCAAAACAAGCGTGAAGTGTTGCTTTTATAGTTAGCTGCAGTGAAGTTTTGTTTTCATTTTCCCTCTGTGAGAGCTCAGCTGGAGTCACGTGTGGATTAACAGTGTACGCGACGCTCGACAACAATAACTTACATGTCTAAGGAGGATTATTGTTTACCTGAGAGCTGTTCTCATCTGCAAACGCTGAGATCCGGATTCGCTTGTAGTCTTCTCTTCATAAAGACGCGGCTCTAGTTGCTGGTGATTGTTCTGTCTCTACAGATTTGGTAAGTGAGTGACCAGTGCTCTTTGTTTATTCAGTTTGTTCGTATCGAACTAAGTTAACTATTGCACCGAGTGTAAACATGTTAGCACCACAACCAAACATTAATCTCGTGTAGGGTTTTCACCACATTTTGTGACCGGAATAACACACGCTGCTTTCTGACACTACCTGCCGTGTGCATCTAAGTTTCTGGAAAATGCTGGGGTTTTTTTTCTCTCATTCGCCGTGCGATATCAAACCTTGCATGAAAAATACACGCTTAGAGCAGCTCCTCCAATCAAATATCTCGTTTGTCGCGAGGGACTTGAATGAATTCCCTGAATGAAAGAGCCAAACTGCAGTTAAAGTCCACCATTTAATCATTTGCCAAATAATTCGACTACAGATGTCCATGTAAACACAGTCACTTTCTCCCCTGTTTGTGTGTGTGTGTGTGTGTGTGTGTGTGTGTGTTTTGAATCTGAAACTCAGCGCGCCCAAATAGACACTCCCACACCATGCCTCTGTTCTTCCTCTGACACTCCCCCCTAAACAGAGCTGGACACGCCCACTTTTCTGACTTTTTCCAAAGTAGAGGTGTGAAAACACCCTGCTGAAACGAGGGGGTTTCATGGCCCTTTAAATTTCTCTCGCGAGTGCCATTCATGCCTGCTGTTCTCACATAAATCCACCAGAGGCCGCTGTTGACTGACTGACTGACTGACCAATCGACTGACCAACCCCCCTCCTTCCCTAAACCCAACCGATAGTGTTTTCAAAAGCAATCCAGAAAAAAGAAAAGCCCTCGGCTGATTTTTACCACATGTTCAGATTTTACCACATTCTCACCCTGTTATTTTTTGTTTTTTGTATTTGTCTTACCTGCTTTCTGGATTTTTCTTTGCCATACTCGAACCTCATCGTCACACTCAACTTCGCTCCATATCACAATTCCATCGACATACACAGCGAGCCACTGAACAAACTGGTAACAGCGGAAAAGCTGTCTATAAAGAGGTAAGCCGTCAGCTGGCAGCTTAAAAAGAAACAAGCCAGCGGCGGTGGCGTATTGCCGCATTTAGAATTTAAAGACGAAATGCAGCCATACGTACCTCCGGCTACATAATTTATGATCTCCAGGAATGTATATAGGGCTACGTTTTCAGAATGTAGCCTATGAGTATTGTTACCAATACTCGAAATTGGTTCTCTGCTTTTGACCCTTCCAAATGGACACACATGATTGAGAAGCGATAACACACACATAAACAGTGAGCACACACTCGGAGCAGTGGGCAACAATTAGAGGTTTGTTGTCTTGGTCAAGGACACCTCAGCTGGGTGTTGAAGATGTCTTGATACCTCATTGGCTCCCCCATACTCGATTCCTGCTGGGGCTGGGAATCAAACCTGCAATCTTTCGATTACAAGTTCAACTCCCTAACCATTAGCCCCCAGAGTTGCTTATTAATTTGCTCATGATTTTTGGCTCATATTGCATGTTTAGCATTTATAGTTAACATGTTAGTCTTCATCTTCTGACAGACCTGGAGGATATGGATAATGAGAAAAGAGAGATGACTGAAGCACATATAGCCGGTCTACATCAGTTCTACTCCAAACACCTGGACTTCCCTGACCATCAGGCCCTGCTCACACTATTCTCACAGGTAAAGGCTGAAATTTACCATTTACCATAGCCAAAACGGTATTTCAAAGTTTATATTAAACTTAACATGTATCTGTGTGGAGTTTGCATGTTCTCCCTTTTGCATGTTCTCCCGTTGCTCCGGTTTCCCCTACAGTCCAAAGACATGCGGTACAGGTGAATTGGGTAGGCTAAATTGTCCGTAGTGTATGAGTGTGAATGGGTGTGTATGGATGTTTCCCAGAGATGGGTTGTGGCTGGATAAGTTGGCGGTTCATTCCACTGTGGCAACCCCGGATTAATTAAAGGGACTAAGCCGAAAAGAAAATGAATGAATGAACGTTTGTGTGACTATTTTGAAAACGTGAGACACCACAAAGTCAAAGCCAGCCGCATCCATCGCAAATGCGCAAAATGCAGGATATACAGATTAACATTTATTCAGAGGCATAAGGTCTGTTTATTTGTTTCTGAGCCTATCTGTTGTTAATTTTTTGCATTTATTTGCTAAATATTTTCGTAAGAGAGAGAGAGAGAGAGAGAGAACAATTTACTCAGTGAATTACTAACTAATAAAAAGCAGCTAATGAGTGCTTTATTGAGCTAAACATTTAGGTTAATGGTAATATCAGGAGCTGTTTTTTTGTTGTTGTTTGTTTTTATTTTGTGTTAATGTGCTTGTCTTGTGTCTAATTTACACAGGTTCACTGTAACGGCTTCACTGTGGAGGATGAGGAACTCTCAAACTTGGGTTTAGCCATTTTTCCAGAGTATGTCCAGCTTCCACATTTATCCTCATACACAAGACAAGTTCCTCATAGCTGATTGAATTAGAGCTGCACAACATGTAATTTCAGCATCCATATCGCAATGTGCGCACTTGCAATCGTCACATCATTGATTATTCAGTCACTGTCAGTCTCCTCAGAAAAGCATGACGCTCTGTATGTTTCATTTGCATCTTCTGCTCTATTGTGTTTATCTATGCTTGTCCGTTGTTTATTCTACTTTAGGCAGATTCACTGCCCTACAGATTCATCCAAAATGACCAATTCTTTCCAAATAGATCTGTTCAATTATCTGGGGAAATTGTGTTCATATCACAATATTCAGTATATTCTCTCGTTCATATTTCTCTTCATGCTTTACTAACCCACATAGCAAATGTTTTCTGGCCCCGCTTCGGGCCACACAATAACTTTTCCCTCGGCCCAAGTACTGCAAAAAATAACTGGATTAAAGTCAAGGGCCACACATGGGCCATAACCAGCCCGAATCTCAGCCAATTTATCCCCCTTAACTGGCCCTGAATTGGGTCAAAACAGGTTTATTATTAGTACCAATTCTCAGCTATAACCCACATAGCAAACGGACTTGGCCCAAATGTGGCCTGATTATGGATCTGCTGGTGGTGACATGCATGATCGCAAACTAGATTTGGGCCAGTTGTGGATGGGAGGTGTGTGGCCCAGATCAGTGTAGCGATTGCTCAGGTAACATTAGGCTGGGTTATGGCTCAGTTTTTGGGTTTCTGGTTAAAGAGTGATGTTTATATGGGTAACTTCCCACATAGCAAATGTTTTCTGGCCCAGCTCCAGGCCACACAATAACTTTTCCCTTGGCCCCAGTACTGCAAAGAATGATGGTCCTGAAGTGGCCCATAACTGGACAAGGGCCACACATGGGCCATAACCGGTCTGAATCTTATGCAATAAATCCCCCTTAACTGGCTCTGAACTGGGCCAAACTGGTTTATTATTGGTACCAATTCTCAGTTATAACCCACATAGCAAACAGACTTGGCCCAAATGTGACCTGATTATGGATCTGCTGGCGCTGACATGCATGATGGCAAACTAGATTTGGGCCAGTTGTGGATGGGAGGTGTGTGGCCCAGATCAGTGTAGCGATTGTTCAGGTAACTTTAGGCTGGGTTATGGCTTTGGTCCACACATAACTTTCCTTCGGCCCAAGTACTGCAAAGAATGACGGTGTCCCATAACTGGACAAGGGCCACACATGGGCCATAACCAGCCTGAATCTCAGCCAATTTATCATCCTTAACTGGCCCTGAACTGGGCTAAACTGGTTTATTATTGGTACCAATTCTCAGCTATATCCCACATAGCAAACAGACTTGGCCCAAATGTGGCCTGATTATGGAACTGCTGTGGCCAGATCAGTGTATTGTTCAGGTAACATTAGGCTGGGTTATGGCTCAGTTTTTGGGGTTTGTGGTTGAAGACTTATGTTGATATGGGTAACTTCCCACATACCAAATGTTTTCTGGCCCAGCTCCGGGCCACATAATAACTTTTCCCTCTTGATTGACGGTCGTGAAGTGGCCCATAACTGGACAAGACAAGGGCCACACATGGGCCAACTACGGCCTGAATCTCAGCCAATTTATCCCCCTTAACTGGCCCTGAAGTGGGCCAAAACAGGTTTATTGGTACAGATTCTCAGCCACAAGTTTATACTTTAACAAGAAACCCCAAAAACTGAGCCATAACCCAGCCTAATGTACCCTATGACAATGTGAACAATGTGAACAATCTGATCTGGGCCACACTCCTCCCATCCACAACTGGCCCAAATGTATTTTTCCGTCATGCATGCAGTGCCATCATTGCCATGCATGGCCCTTATTTGGCTGACTGTGATCGGCAGCACGCCAGCAGTGCCAAAATCAGGCCACATTTGGGCCAAGTCTGTTTGCTGTGTGGGATTGCACTTGAACATCTTGTGGCTTCTTTAATTCAGTTTTCATCCCCCATAATCCTGTGCTGTTCTCCTGCTCTTCCAGCATTGCCCTCTTGAACCACAGTTGCTCTCCCAATGTCATAGTCACATACAGAGGCATCAACGCTGAAGTACGGGCCGTGAAGGACATCAGTCCAGGGCAGGAGGTCTGTATGTCACTGTGCTCTTACCTCTATCAGAGATAGTCGCTGTCGTTCGCACAGCGGGAAGTCATAGCTCTTTTTTTAAATGATTGTTCTCTAGTTGCTGTGTGGCTCTTGTAGTGTGAATCGGGATTTAGTGAGATTTACTGCAAAAGCTTTTATTAGACATCCCCATTGTGGAGAACAGTGTTTACTTGAGCTCCTGTGTTTTAGGTTAGCTCCTCTTTGGTTGCTGTTACTGTTTGTCATGGCACAAAAATATTGATACGATCAGAGTAAATCATCATGTATTAGTGAAATCCACTGATCCTGCAGCTGAATTTAATCACTGATTATGATGATAATAATGTGACACTGATCTTATTATTTTGATTATAATGTTATTGCGATTCTACAGCTTTGTACACCTGAAACACAATATTCTCACCGGCCACTTTATTAGGTACACCTGTACCACCAGAAAGACAACAGTAACTCAAATAAAGTGCGAATCATCTCAGACTGGTGAACATGATGATGAGTTCACTGTACTCAAATGGCCTCCACAGTCACCAGAGCTCAATCCAATAGAGCAGCTTTGGGATGTGGTGGAACGGGAGATTGGCATCATGGATGTGCAGCCGACAAATCTGCAGCAACTGTGTGATGCTATCATGACAATATGGAGCAAAATCTCTGAGGAATATTTCCAGTGCCTTGTTGAAGGATTAAGGCAGTTCTGAAGGCAAAAGAGGTCCAACCTGGTACTGTTAAGGTGTACCTAATAAAGTGGCCAGTGAGTGTATTTATCTCAACAATGGTGACAAGCTTCATGCAACAGTGCTTCATGCTTGCCGAGAGCAACATAAGACTCATCCATGACTCCCAGCATGCACTGCAGCAAGAAATATGTCATCATTGAGGTTGAGATGCATACTAATTCCTGATGTCTGGGTGTTTGAAGTGTTTCACATGCTCGGTGTGTTTATAAAACCTCATCATATTGCTGTTGGGTCTCATTCTACTGAAGCACAGAATGATTATTATTATCATTGTCTTTCTTCTTCCCTACTGAAAACAAACAGCTTGAAGTCTAAGCTGGTCAGGCTGGTTTTAGCTGGTCACCCAAGCTGGTTTTTGCTGGTTTCCCCGGCTGGTCATGGCTGGTTTGTCAGGCTGGTTTCAGAGAGGTTTTGGGCACTTTTTAGCTGGTCTTAATTGGTTAGGTAGGTCTTAGCTGGTCAGGCTGGTTTTAGCTGGTCAGGCTGGTTTTAGCTGGTCAGGCTGGTTTTAGAGGGGTTTTGGTCACTTTTTAGCTAGTCTTAATTGGTCAGGTTGGGCTTAGCTGGTTTTAGATGGTCTTAGCTAATTTTAGAAGGGTTTTGGCCACTTTTTAGCTGATCTTAGTTGATCAGGTTGGTCTCAGCTGGTCTAAGCTGGTTTTAGCGGGTCAGGCTGGTTTTAAAGGGATTTTGAAGACCACTTTTTAGCTGGTCTTAGTTAGTCAGGCTGGTTTTAGCTTGTCAGGTTGGTCTTAGCTGGTCAAGCTGGCTGTTCTTATCTAGTTTTAACTGGTCAGGCTCACTGGTCTTAGCTGGTTTTAGCTGGTCAGGCTGGGAGACCAGCTAAAACCAGCTTGACCAGGCTGGGAGACCAGCTAAAACCAGGCTGGCCAGAATGGGAGACCAGCTAACACCAGCTTGACCAGGCTGGGAGACTAGCTAAAACCAGGCTGGCCAGGATGGGAGACCAGCTAAAACCAGCTTGACCAGGCTGGGAGACCAGTTAAAACCAGGCTGGCCAGGATGGGAGACCAGCTAAAACCAGCTTGACCAGGCCGGGAGACCAGCTAAAACCAGGCTGGCCAGGATGGGAGATGAGTTAAAACCAGCTTGACCAGCCTGGCCAGGCTGAGAGACCAGCTAAAACCAGCCTGGTCAGACTGAGAGACCAGCTTGACCAGTCTGGCTAGGTTAGAAGACCAGCTAAAACCAGCTTGACCAGGCTGGGAGACCAGCTAAAAACAGCCTGGCCAGGCTGAGAGACCAGCTAAAACCTGCCTGACCAGGGTGGGAGACCATCCACTTCCAGCTAAAACCAGCTAAGACCAGCCAACCAGAAGGGTTAGCATAACACAGTTACAGCAATCAATGAGAAATATTAAGTCAAAGAGCCCAAACGCAGTCCTCACCGATGGTCACAGTGACTGACAAAAAGAGTTTTAATTAAACCTAATGAAAAGCAGGACCAGGTTTGGGAACAACTTAAGTAATTTGATAGAGATGATTCCCTTCTCTGACCACCAGAGGGCGACCTCAGCTGAATATTGACTTTTTCACTCTCATCTGCTCTCACACTACATTTACCACTGGATAACAGTATTATTAAACACTTTAGTGAACTCTTTTTTCCTCTAAGCTATGCTCTTTGTAACTAGGAATTTCCATGATGAAGTGAAGTGTGAGTTGGGTGTGATGATTCTGTCTGCACTATACAGGTCACATGAGGGTTAGAGTCAGTCCAGACTTTATTCTCAAGTAGTGATTTCCACATAGCTGTCTAGAAAAGAGCACTGGATTCTGTTGGTGTTTCACTATGAGGAATGCTAATGTTGATAGCAGTTAACTTAACGTCCTAGTCTGTAATTATTGTTATTTCGAGTTGTACTTACTACCATTTGTGTGTGTGTTCTCTCCCTTTCTTCCTCTCTTTCTGTGTGTGCGTGCAGATTTACACCAGCTACATAGACCTGCTGTACCCTACAGCGGACCGATTGGAGAGACTCAGAGACATGTACTACTTCAGCTGTGACTGCAAAGAGTGCACCACCAAATCTATGGTGTGTGGAAACGCATGGGATACACTTTATAGACTGATTTCACGTGGCCGCCATTGTCTTCGCTTTGGTTCTTTAAAATGTCGTCCGCGTGAAATAAGCGCATTGACCTTTTTAATACAACCTGTGTTGAACCCAATTACACAACGAATGAAGCCATACAGACAATTAACAGAACAAAAAATAGTAACGTTAGTCAAAATAAGATAAAATGCAAAGGAGCAGAAGTGATGTAGTGTGATGGATTAAACAGTAAAAGTTAAGCACTGTGTGCTGTGTTTAAAGTCCATGTAATCAGTGCGTAAAGATCCTCAGGCTGTGTGTGTGCTCATCACTTGGAACAGGTGTGTGTGAGCGGAGTGCATGTATGGAGTTGTAGTCCATAATGTGGCGGATTTGTAGTTCTCCCAGCAATCTGCAGCCGCTAGTGATTATAACACCAATGCTTCTTCCTCTGATACGTTGTGGTTTTGCAGGATGTGGTGAAGATGAGTGTGCGGAAGCGGAGTGATGAAATCGGGGAAAAGGAGATTAAGGATATGGTGCGTTACGCTCGGAACTCCATGGAAAACTTCCGCAGGGCCAAACAAGACAAAAATATCCTTTGTGGTTCTTTTATAGTTGCATTCGTTCATTTTCTTGTTGGCTTAGTCCCTTTATTAATCCACGGTCGCCACAGTGGAATGAACCGCCAACTTATCCAGCAAGTATTAACGCAGCGGATGCCCTTCCAGCCACAACCCATCTCTGGGAATTTTATAGTTGCATTTCTATTTATTTTATTATGCTGTTAAATAGTTATTTGAACATAAAAAGTCCATTTAATTTAATTGGTTGTTATTATATTAACAAGCTAAAATATTAAAGAGGGGTTATTATGCAAAAATCACTTTTATAAGGGGTTTAAACACAGCAGTGTGTGAATAAAACCAGCTTTTTAATAGTAAACATGATTTAATTGTATTGTTTATAATCAGACTTGACTAAATCAGTCTGCTGAAGCACTTTGATTGACATTCTCCCTTTGTATGATGTCATCAGAGGGGGAAAGCCCCGCCCACTAGTGACCATCTCTCCCTTATTAGCATACGACGTCAGTCTTGTTGTTGAATCTGCCACTATGCTGATGCACAGGCATCTGTAGCTCCGCCCTCTTCTAAAAAAGAGCACAATCTCATTTGCATTTAAAGTGACAGTCACCAAAATACCACACACTATGCACATTTAGGGTACAACATTGGCCATTCAAGCACTGATAAGTACCATTTGAGTACTGCAATGTATCTATTGAAAGGGTGGCCTGTTGTAACTTTATTTCTGAGATTGTAAGTCACACTGTTATTGACTCTTGACTCTGGTTGACGTCCCACTGAGCTGCTGGAGATGTGCGAGCTCAGCATTGACAAGATGAGCACCGTGTTTGATGACTCCAACGTCTACATCCTTCATATGATGTACCAGGCTATGGGCATCTGCCTCTTCACAGAGGATTATGAAGGAGCAGTGCGCTATGGGGAAAAAGTCATCAAGCCATTCACGTAAGAACATTCATGGATGCACATACACTACCTGACAAAAGTCTTGTCGATTATTCAGGTTTTAAGAAAAGCTAATAATAACTGGACTTCTAGCTGTTGATTTGGTGTCAGAAGTGTCTCTATGAAAGGTGAAGGCCTCTAGATTTTGCTGATTTGAGCTCAATAAATCTGATCATGTCTTGATGTTGACTGATTTGATGAGGACAGTGCGGTCTGACTCTGCTCAGACTAAAGTCTCATCACTGAACAGAAATAATGTCCAGTATAGAATATAAAGTCCTGCTGCAGTGGAGACAGAATGAAGATTGTGTCTGACTCCATCATGAGCTTGGAGGACTGCATCCATACATCTCTGACATGACTCACATCACTGATTAATAAAGTCATCTGGAATGAAGAAGAAAGCCTTCAGAGTTCATCAAGAGTCTTTGTGTTCATCTTCAACACCTCCTCCTTCATCTGCTCAATAATGTTGATGTCTGGTGACTGGGCTGGCCAATCCTGGAGCACTCTCTGCTTTCAGGATCTTTGATGTGGAGGCTGAAGTATGAGCAGGAGCGCTATCCTGCTGGAGAATTGTCCCTCTCCTGTGGTTTGTAATGTAATGGGCAGCACAGATGTCTTGATACCTCAGGCTGTTGATGTTGATCATCCACTCTGCAGATCTCTCCATACTGAATGAACCCCAAACCATGATGTCTCCTTCACCAAACTTGACTGATTTCTATAAGAATCTTGCTCCATGCTGGTTCCAGTAGGTCTTCTGCAGTATTGGTGATGATTGGGATGCAGATCAGCAGATGATCCAGCAGAGAAATCCACCTTCTGACACTCTTACACATCATCAACTAGAAGACCAGTTACTATCTGCTGCTCTTACAGATGAGATCCACCAAGACTTTTGTCAGGTAGCATATAATATAATACATATTAGTGCATCTACCAGCATTAATATCTTTGTTTTGTCTGTAGTGTCCTCTACCCAGCATACTCTATGAATGTTGCATCTATGTTTCTGAAGTTGGGCAGACTCTACATTGCTCTGGACAGGAAGTTGGCTGGCATCGATGCCTTTCAGAAGGTACAATCTACTTCAAAACTAGCTGAGCATGACCCTTGTTTCTCTCTAAACTGGTTTGACTTTCACCAAAGGAGTTGTTTAGATCAGTGGTTCTCAACCACGTTTCCCCAACACTGCATGGCTGTATCCAAAATCGAATCCTATACAGCAGCCATAGACGTTTTAAAGTGCACTTAACCAATCCTACAATGCACAGCAATAACGAGTCTACAACACATGTACAATCAACAGCTAGAGAATACCCATAATGCACTTTGAGAGTTCATGAGCAAGGCTGGCACATCCATAGAGGCGACCAAGGCGGCCGCCTAGGGCGGCGGAATAGACAGGGCGGCGTCCCTGAAACTACCCTCGCCACCCGCGCCCTCATCCGCGTCTAGGGAGGCAGAATAGAGTGGGCCCCGTCCCCGATACTACCCTCACCACCCGCTCCCTCAGTTATATCCGCGCCTAGGGTGGCAGAATAGAGAGGGCGGCGTCCCCGACAATATCCTCACCACCCGCACCCTCAGTTATGTCCACGTCTAGGGCGGCAAAATAGAGACGGTGACATCCCCAACACTATCCTCACCACCCGCACCCTCAGTTTTATCCGCGTCTAGGGTGGCAGAATAGAGAAGGTGGCGTCCCCTAAACTACCCTCGCCACCCGCACCCTCATTTATATCCGCGTCTGAGGCGGTAGAATAGAGAGAGGCATCCGCGAACCTACCTTCACCACCCGCACCCTCAGTTATATCCACGTCTGAGGCGGCAAAATAGAGAGAGGCATCCGCGACACTACCCTCACCACCCGCACCCTCAGTTATATCCACGTCTAGTGCGGCACAATAGAGAGGGCGGCGTCCTCGACACTACCCTCACCACCCGCACCCTCAGTTATATCCGGGCCTAGGGTGGCAGAATAGAGAGGGCGGCATCCCTGACACTATCCTCACCACCCGCACCCTCAGTTATATCCGCGTCTAGGGTGGCAGAATAGAGAAGGTGGCGTCCCCTAAACTACCCTCGCCACCCGCACCCTCATTTATATCCGCGTCTGAGGCGGTAGAATAGAGAGAGGCATCCGCGACCCTACCCTCACCACCCGCACCCTCAGTTATATCCACGTCTGAGGCGGCAGAATAGAGAGAGGCATCCGCGACACTACCCTCACCACCCGCACCCTCAGTTATATCCACGTCTAGTGTGGCAGAATAGAGAGGGCAACCTCATCCTCATTTTCACTTTAGGTTTGAGGGCGGCGTGACCATCCTTTGTCTAGAGCAGCAGTTCGCAAATGAATTTACTATTTAAACAACGCGGCACAAAACGTGAAAATGACAGTTGCACTGGTCTGAAAATAGCACAAATTACGCCAAACTCGTCTTGTGCCTTATTGCCTTATTGCATCATTCATTAATTTTCTTTTTAGTTTAGTCCCTTTATTATTATTATTATTATTATTATTATCTGTAATTTGATGCAAAGATGACATAATACAAAGTGTAGCTTTATAAATGTACATACATTTAAATAAAAATCACAATATTAAAAACTTTCAAGACATTATGATGACCATTAATTGCATCGTCACCGTCTTGTAAAAGAAAGGTCCATAGGTTACTCTAAGGGGTAATGTAAGCCTTTGAAAATGACTTCTTCAACATTTCTTGTTGGCTTTCAGGTTTGGGGGAAATGCACTTTGCATTAGCTCTGTGAAGGCCAGTGCTGTGTAGTAATTGTGTTTGTTTTACAGGCGTTGACCATCATGGAGGTTGTTCATGGAAAGGACCACACATATGTAACGGAGCTCAAACAGGAGATGAGAGATTTCTGAACAAGATTTAATAGGGTATATGCACAGTGACGTTTAATTAAGGACGTTTTCATATTTAAGATCTGGTTTCTTGAAAAATCAATGATTGATGTAAGAGATAAAGTTTGTGTCAGACCAGACAAGAAGCACCACATTAAATTCAAGTGTTCTGTTCCGTCCATAAAATATGGCAAATTTATATATATATATATATTTTATAATTTTATAATTTTATAATTTTAATTTATATATATATATATATATATATATATATATATATTTTTTTTTTTAATTCTTTCATTTTCTTTTCGGCTTAGTCCCTTTATTAATCTGGGGTCGCCACAGCGTAATGAACCACCAACTTTTTCGGCTTAGTCCCTTTATTAATCTGGGGTCGCCACAGCGGAATGAACCGCCAACTATTTCGGCTTAGTCCCTTAATTAATCTGGGGTCGCCACAGTGTAATGAACCGCCAACTTTTCGGCTTAGTCCCTTTATTAATCTGGGGTCACCACAGTGGAATGAACCGCTAACTTTTTCGGCTTAGTTCCTTTATTAATCTGGGGTCGCCACAGTGGAATGAACCGCTAACTTTTTCGGCTTAGTTCCTTTATTAATCTGGGGTCGCCACAGCGGAATGAACCGCCAACTATTTCGGCTTAGTCCCTCAATTAATCTGGGGTCGCCACCACGTAATGAACCGCCAACTATTTCAGCTTAGTCCCTCAATTAATCTGGGGTCGCCACAGCGTAATGAACCGACCAACTATTTCAGCTTAGTCCCTTAATTAATCTGGGGTCGCCACAGCGGAATGAACCGCCAACTATTTCGGCTTAGTCCCTTAATTAATCTGGGGTCACCACAGTGGAATGAACCGCTAACATTTTCGGCTTAGTTCCTTAATTAATCTGGGGTCGCCACAGCGGAATGAACCACCAACTATTTCGGCTTAGTCCCTTAATTAATCTGGGGTTGCCACAGCGGAATGAACCGCCAACTTTTTCGGCTTAGTCCCTTAATTAATCTGGGGTCGCCACAGTGGAATGAACCAACAACTTATCCAGCATATGTTTTACGCAGTGGATGCCCTTCCAGTTGCAACCCATCAGTGGAAAACATCCATACACACTCATTGACACACACACTACGGCCAACTCAATTCCCCTATAGCACACGTGTTTGGACTTGTGGGTGAAACTGGAGCACCCGGAGGAAACCCATGCCAACACAGGGAGAACATGCAAACTCCACACAGAAACACCAAATGACCCAGCCGGGACTTGAACCAGCGAGTTTCTTGCTGTGAGGGGGGAAAGATCGGCAAAGGACCTTGAGCCAGAAATCGGACTTGGGTTGCTGTGAGGAGATCAGTGCTATATTTTGGTGCACTTCCAAAATAGTTTCACCCCAGCCTGCTGCTCCTGACGGCGCTTGTGTTTAAATGAACATCTAAATGAATGCTTAAGTCTATTTAAATGTCAGTATTTGAATTTACATGATCTGTGCTGTAAAAAAAAACCTAATGAAATAAAAAAATAATCACATCAACCTTTCATTGGCATCATGGATGTGCAGCCGACAAATCTGCAGCAACTGTGTGATGCTATCATGACAATATGGAGCAAAATCTCTGAGCAATATTTCCATTAGCTTGTTGAATCTCTGCCCCCAAGGATTAAGGCAGATCTAAAGGCAAAAAGGGGTCCGACCCGATACTCAAAAGTGGCCGGTGAGTGTACTTTTAATTGCTCATAGCTCTGTTAGTGACTATTATAGTGTCTCATGTTAATTCTGACCTCACGGGATTTTAAGATGATTCTTTCCACATTATTGTCAAGTATCATCATCCTCAAACTCAAAACAGCCCATGTAAGTGCACTTCACACACACACACACACACACACACACACACAGAGTGAGAAGTTTAAGCACACACAAGCACATCCAGAGCAGTGAGCACACACTCGGAGCAGTGGTCATCCATTATGGATGTGTTTCTGTTTGCTTTGACAGCTCTACTCTCCTCTCACCGGCTTTTCAGCAGTATGAACTGAGCGAGAGTGCTGCTGTTAGATATATCACAATGCCCTGATTTGACTAGTGACTGCAGAAAATTGCAGCTTGAATGAGGGTAGGTGTATTACATACATTATGTACCCTAATTAGGTTGTCAAGTGAAAATGGGGTGAATATTTAGCAGTCAACACAATACACAACTGCACTGTGTTGAAGTCAGTGTAGTTTTCTCAGGTCTCAGTTCTGGTTTGGTTGAATTCTGGCTGAAATGTAATATTGCTACGGCTTAATTGTGGCCCAGATCTGGCAAGGACCGCCCAAGTGCCATCATTCCATGCGGTATGTGGGCCGGATTTGAGCCACATGAGTTTTGCTAGCTGGGTTCCCTGCTGAAAAATCCAGCCTAAACCAGCCTAGGCTGGTTGGCTGGTTGACCAGGCTGGTTTTAGAGGGGTTTTGGCCACTTCCAGGCTGGTTTCCAGCCATTTCCAGCCTGGTCTTAGCTGGTCAGGCTGGGAGATGACCAGCCTAGCCAAGCTGGGAGTCCAGCCAAAACCAGCTATATCCAGCTTAAACCAGGCTGGTCAAGCTGGTTTTAGCTGGATTTGGCTGGTCATTTTCCAGCCTGACCAGCTAAGACCAGGCTGGAAATGGCCAAAACCCCTCTAAAACCAGCCTGGTCAACCAGCTAAAACCAGCCAACCAGCCTAGGCTGGTTTAAGCTGGATTTTTCAGCAGGGAATTCATAACTAAACAGGGTTCTGGGTGAGACAAAATCTGAATATGTTATGTTAAAGAGAAAGTATAGTGCATTGTTAGATCCTGTTAAACATTTGAATAAAACTCTGTTAAATTGTTTATTAAATCTTTATATATATATATAAATCCAGCTAAACCGATTGTCTTCCCTTTTCAAAGGGAGGTGTTCTCATGTATGCTGAGCACTCTATGCCAGGCTGTAGGCTATATAGCCTAACTAGAGACAGCTCACAGATCGCCTCCAGCTGCTTATAGATGTTGGCCCGGTTGCCATGGCAACTCTACTTCGCTGCTACCAGTGCTTATGCTTAGCATGTTAAATCTTGTCAAGAAAAAACACGAATTTAAGCAGTTGGAGCGATTGTGAACAGACCAGAGACGTTTTAATTACACTGAGAACTTCAGGGAACTGATGCATCTCCAGTCGTAAGTTAATTAACGAGATTTATTCATGCTATTTATTAATTGTGTTGTGTTTTATTAACGTCGAAACGCCCCTAAACACACTCCACACAGTCATGTAATTATATGTACTTAATTATGCATGGGCTATTGATGTGCGCATGCCCAATATGCTGGATCTCTTCTAGACTTGATCAGCCCTGGTTATATCTGGGACCATTTAGATTAGGCTATGACGATGGGAGTGTGTAATTTATCGATTAATGGTGATGTATTATTAAGAAAATAATCAAAAAGTTGATTTATTGATCTGCTTCGCCATGTGCTGGGAGAGGTTAAAGAGTCAAGAGCGTTATCTATGATAGCCAGGTTATTAAAACCTGCAACCTTTGGCTCCATCACAGATCACGAACCCCTCTTGCGTCATTGCGGTCTGTGATTCAGAGGAGGTTCCTCCGTTTGCAATCGTTCAGTAGGCTGGACATCTCCGAGAGGTGCTGCCAGGTATTAAACAGAATACAATAGATAAAAACACAGCCCTGTCACGAGACGGAAGAGATGGAGTTGCAGAAATGGAACCGAACTGCTTTGTGCACACGGTAACGCGCGCGTCGATGAGCACAGGACAAGAAGTAAGTTACATAAACACAGCACACAACCGGCTTTACACACATCAAATGCGTTTTCTTATGTCTCTCTCTGTGTGTGTGAGATGTCAGATGTGTATTGTGTTTGAATGGTAAGGTAAATTAAAATTAAAATATCCGCGTAAAACGGTGGTACATGTCTCTGGATGAAATCCCCAGAGCTGTGCATGATGTGGGGGGAAGAAAACCCACGGGGCAGCCGTCTGAAATGATCATCAATTATCAATGTGTTGCGCATCACGAGGAGATGCTGATGCTTCACATCTTATCTGTTGGTATACTGTTAATTACCTGCAGCAGTAGTGTGGATGTGTGGATCTCTGATCGGATGCTTTGAGCTTGTGATGCTGCGATGTTCTAGGGTGGGGGTCTGGGGGATTTCTCTGTTTTGTATTGTGCAACAGCATTGGCAATATAGTGAACACAGATTATTATTTGTTTTTGTTATATGTGCAGCATAGTTCATTTAAAAACTTTGGTAAACACTTTAGGTTACATTTTAAAGTATTAACAAGCTATTAAATAATGCTACTAGCTTAATAATTAGCTGTTTATTAATGCGTTTTAGGATTAGAGATGCAGAATAAGATCATACTTTATAATCACTACTACAGAACAGTTATTATCTTAGTAATAAGCCAGTAGTTAATTGTGACCTAAACTGAAATGTGAATGATCTCTTACATTATTTTAATAACTGGTCACTGGTTCTTGTGAAGTGGGACAAAACTAGCTGCATTATTGAAAAAAAAAAATTATATATGTTCAAAATACTTATTTAAAATTTGGGCGGTTTTGCATTGTCGTGTCCACCAGCCCCAGTCTTCACTTATAAACCTGTTATGATCTCCCAAATAGATGCCAGATGTAATTAATTAAAATATTCTAAGAAGGTCTTTAAAAAGTCTTAAGCAGGTGTTGAAATTACCTTTAGGATTCCTGCATTTATCCTGTTATAGCAATAAATACCAGACAATATTGTGTTATAGTCCTTATTCATACGTCCATATTGGCCATCCCTAAGCTGAAACACTATGAACTGTGCTGGGTTCCACACAATCGATTTGTGTTGGGAAAACATGAAGGAATTAACTTCACTTATTATTCATTCATTCATTTTCTTGTCGGCTTAGTCTTTTTATTAATCCGGGGTCGCCACAGCAGAATGAACCGCCAACTTATCCAGCACGTCATCACTAAATGATTGCTGCAGGCTACAGATATGCTTGTGCGTCTAATTTTGTGAGCGAATATATTCATTATTGAACAACATTCATTCAAATATTCACATTCATAACCTGGTCTAACGTCATGCTTTCTGTCTTTTAGTGGCTGCTCCTGACCTCCTTGATCCCAAAACAGCCGTGCACAACTCCAAACCACGTCTTTCATTCTCGGCTCCGCCGGTGCTGCTGAAGCCTCCAGAGGACTGTGAGATTCGAGTGACCGTCATGCGCTGGAAGACCGTGCTCAGTGTCTTCCTGCTGGTGGTGCTTTATCTGATCCTCGGAGCAACTGTGTTTAAGGAGCTGGAGCAGCCTTATGAGACGTTACAGAAGCTGAACATCCTGATGGAAAAACTGGAGTTCCTCGAGCAGCACCCCTGCGTCAACTCATCAGACCTGGAAAACTTAGTCAAGGTGAAACAGCAGACTTGCACACAGACGCAATATTGGACAGGACACATATTGGGTATGGCAAGCTGTTTTGACATTTAGTCAATAATCCATACTAGTATCTATTTTCCTGTTACTAGTGCTTATTCATTAGATACTAGCGCTTTTAAAAAATATACTAGTGCTTACTCATTAGACACGTTATTTTTATTAGATACTAGTACTCATTCATTAGATACTAGTTCTTATTAAACAGATACTAGTACTTATTAAACAGATACTAGTACTTATTAAACAGATACTAGTTCTCATTAAACAGATACTAGTTCTTATTTATTAGATACTAGTACTTATTAAATAGATACTAGTTCTTATTAAACAGATACTAGTTCTTATTAAACAGATACTAGTACTTATTAAATAGATACTAGTTCTTATTAAACAGATACTAGTTCTTATTAAACAGATACTAGTTCTTATTAAACAGATACTCGTTCTTATTCATTAGATACTAGTACTTATTAAACAGATTCTAGTTCTTATTAAAGATAAGATACTACTAATAATAATATAAACAGATACCCTTTAGTATCTGTTTATATTATTAAACAGATACTAAAGGGAGTCTAAATGTATTCAGGAGCTGAGGAATGATCGGTCAGTGTGGAAAATAATTACAATGACTCTGTTAAAGCTACAGATGTTCTTGTTTCTTTCACTCGTGAATGCTTTAAACAGTAACAGAGCTTGTGCAACGTCCAAATGATAAACCTTCACTGTATAATGGATGAACTGTGCAGTTCAACCGCAAATCATTTATCTGTGATGGCTGTTCTTGTATGTGAGAATGTGTGAGTTTAGAAACATTCTGTGATACTTTCACAATATTGCTGTATTAGTTTGAGCTCAGCGGTGTAGCATACGAACCTGCTGCTCAGCCATTGGCTTGATTTCAGTGTGAGACGACCAGTCACAGATGGGTAGTGCTTGAGAAATCTACTACTTACAGTTGAAACCAGTTTACATGCACTCTAACAAAAGAAACGTAACCATTTTAAAAATGTCTGATGGTAATTCATACTAAACGTTTACTTTTTAGGTCTGTTAGGATTACCTAAAGGATTTACATTTGCTAAATGCCAGAATAATGAGAGAGTTTTTATTAATTTCTAGACGGTCAAAAGTTTACACACATTATCTTGGTATGTTTTTATTTTTGCTTTTAAACTGTATAACTTTGGTCAAGTGTTTTGGGTCTCCTTCCACAAGCTTCTCACAATAGTTTGCAGGAGTTTTGGCTCATTCCTCCTGACAGAATTGCTGTAACTGAGTCAGATTTGTCTTGCTCGCACAAGCTTTTTCAACTCTGCCCACACATTTTCTATAGGATTGAGATCAGGGCTTTGTGATGGCCACTCCAAAACATTCACTCTGTTGTCCATAAAGCACATTTGAGCTCATTTGGCAGTGTGCTTAGGGTCATGGTCTGTTTGGAAGACCCATCTGTGGCCAAGTTGTAATGTCCTGGCTGATGTGTTGAGATGTTGCTTCAGTATTTCTCCATAATGTTCTGTCTTCATGATGCCATCTATGCTGTGAAGTGGACCAGTCCCTCCTGCAGCAAAACAGCCCCACAACATGATGCTGCCGCCCCCATACTTCACAGTTGGGATGGTGTTTCTATGCTTGTGCGCTTCCCCTTTGTCCTCCAAATGTAACACTGCTCATTATGGCCAAACAGTTCAATCTTAGCTCCATCAGAGCACAGCACATGTCTTCAAACATCAGTCTTTTCCCAGTGTCATTCAGCTAATGGTAATCTGGCTTTGTGTTGATTCTGTCTTGTTGATTCTCCCATGTTGTCACACAAGGAAGCAGTGTGTTTGAGCTTTTCCCTCAATACTATTCTACAGTTGTTCCTCCAATAAACTCAAATGTTGTCAATTAGATATGAATATGATATGAATCATTTTGGTTTACATGTAATTATACAAATGGTTTTGTCTTATTACAGCAGGTGGTGTCAGCATTGCGGGCAGGAGTTAACCCTTCAGGAAACTCGTCCAATCAAAGCAGTTTGTGGGACCTTAGCAACTCCTTCTTCTTCTCTGGAACGGTTATTACAACTATAGGTATTATAGCAAGCCCACTTGCAATCATTGACCGCTCTGAACATACATGTTAAACTCTACTCTAGTAAACCCAACAGTTTCTATATAAACTCTGAGTATTTTGAAGCGAATGTGGTGTAAGTTAACAGTCAAACTGTGTAACGGTCAAACCCATAACATTTATAAAAGTTACCTTTAGGTCAGGAGAGGTAAACGTGTATCACCCACAGAAGGCTTAATGCAGGCTACGCTCACTTCACTTGACATACAGCACTCACCATTATATTCAGAACATTCCTTCCTCCTTGCTGATTCTGTGTCTTCTTCAGGTGCTTTTGCTCACTAGATCTGCTTTTATTCTGTTCTAGACATGTTACTGTGCAGTGTATGATGAAATTGGGTTGAATTTGCTTCATCTGAGACACTTTCCTGCAGCTCAGGTCACTGCTCCTGCGGCAGCCAGCTGGAGTCTTATTGATAGTAGCTTAAAAAAATGGCTCAACTAGAATGTTTGATGCAAGTTAAATAGGGTTTGCCAGATAACTAAAGCTGCTGTGTGTAAGTTGTTGACACTTGTAATCCAAAAAATTCCATAATGTGTTTGTAGAAATTTAAGAAACATGCTTTAGTGAACATACGATGCATCCGGACAGTATTCACAGTGCTTCACTTTTTCCACATTTGTTTATGTTACAGTTTTATTCCAAAATGGATTAAATTGATTGATTTCCTCAACATTCTACACACAATCAATGTGGATAAAGAGTTGATGCCCCTTTAGCAGCGGTTACAGCCTCAAGTCTCTTTGAATATGATGCCACAAGCTTGGACCACCAGTCTGCTTGCCCATTCCTCTTTGCAGGACCTCTCAAGCTCCATCAGGTTGGATGGGAAGCGACGGCCATTTTCAGATCTCTCTAGAGATGTTCAATAGGATTTAGGTCTGGGCTCTGGGTGGGCCACTCAAAGACATTCACCCAGTTGTTGTTGTGCCGCTCCATTGATATTTTGGCGGTGTGCTTTGGGTCCTGCTGGAAGATGAAGCGTCGCCCCAGTCTGAGGTGGAGAGCACTCTTGTGCAGGTCTTCATTCAGGATGTCTCTGTGCATCGCTGCATTCATCTTTCCCTCTATCCTGACTAGTCTTCCAGTTCCTGCTGCTGAAACACATCCCCACAGCATGATGCCAACACCACCATGCTTCACTGTAGGGATGCTGTTAGCCTGGTGATGAGCGCCGCCTGCTGTTCTCCACACGTAACGCCTGGCGTTCACTCCAAACAGTTCAGTTTGAGTCTCATCAGAGCAGAGAGTTTAGTTTCTGATGCTCTGAGAGTCTTTCAGATGGTAAACTCCAGGCGGGGAGTGTCTTCCGTCTGGCCGCTCTACCATACAGATGCCTGATTGGTGGATTGCTGCACAGATGGTTGTCCTTCTGTAAGGTTCTCCTCTCTCCACAGAAGAACGCTGGAGCTCAGACAGAGAGACCATCGGGTTATTGATCACCCAAGGACCTTCTCCCCCCGATCACTCAGCTTAGATGGCCGGCCAGCTCTAGGAAGAGTCCTGGTGGGTAAACATCTTCCACTTGCGTATGATGAAGGCCGCTGTGCTCATTGAACTTTCAGAGCAGCAGAAATGTTTCTGTAACCTTCCCCAGCCTTGTGCCTTCAGACAATCCTGTCTCTGAGGTCTACAGACAGTTCCTTTGTCCTCATGCTTGGTTTGTGCTTTGTCATGCACTGTCAACCCTGGGCCCTTATATAGACAGGTGTAGCCTTTTCAGATCATGTCCATCAGCTGAATTGAGCACAGGTGAACTCCAGTGAAGCATTTGCAGAATGACCAGTGGGGACAGAATGAACCTGAGCTCCATGTAGAGCTTCACGCCAAAGCCTGTGAATACATGTGATTTATCAGCAGTTTTATTCTTAATAAATCTGCAAAAATTTCAAAAAGCCCTTGTCATTATGGGGGATAGTGTGTAGAATGTTGAGGAAATAAGTCAGTTTAATCCACTTTAGGAATAAGACTGTAACATAAACAAATGTGGAAAAAGTGAAGCGCTGTGAACACTTTCCCGATTCACTGTGGATGTGTCTAACCTGTTTGGATAAATAGATGTTTTGTTACCTTTATTCCCTCCAGGATTTGGGAATATCTCGCCACACACTGAAGTCGGACGCATCTTCTGTATTATTTATGCTTTGCTGGGAATTCCTCTGTTTGGATTCTTGCTGGCAGGAGTGGGAGACCAGCTCGGAACCATCTTTGGAAAGGCAATTGCCAAAGTGGAGGGTATGATTGATGTGAGTTAAAGCTCTTTTTCATAATTATTAATATTTCTACTACTATTATTAAGGCTATGTTTGAAAGCCTGAATAAAACCTTTACCATTATTATGATTTACAACAGAACTTGCATTTGTTTTATTATTATTGTTTCTAAGTTGACAAATTAAGTATGTCCTCTTATCAATAACCAAAAAAACGTACAGTATAAAAACTATACTGAAAAAACAAGGTTTAAAGTAGAAAAGATATGTGCTTTGTAACTCTGCAGGTCTTTTATATGCTCAAAACTGAATGTAAATCAAAGGCGGCAACACCAAGGCTCCAAAAATACAAATTTATTAAATTAAAAAGGCTGACACAGAGCGTGTAACGTTTCGAGCCGCCGGCTCTTCATCAGACAATGTTTATCACAATCAGGTGCTTCTTTTTATACACTTCCGGATCACATGATCTCCTCTCGCATATATGCCAACATATACATACATGCATATGTATACATACACAATCGTTCATATGTACATATACATACACATGAATACACATTCACATATAGTCTATAGCTTTGATATTATAAATCAAATTACAAAAAAAATATAAATACATAAATAAACTATAATATTACATCACAAATTATAATAAAGAAAAATAAATAAATAAGGAAAAAATATATATATATATATATATACCATGATACACCAGACTATACAACAAAATATAGCCAAGAAACCTTTAAACCAAACCCCTACTTAAACCTTCATTCATTCATCATTCATTCATTGTCTTTTTGGCTTAATCTCTTTATTATATATGCTCAAAACTGAACACTAAAAGACGATGAAAGTGTAAAAGCATATTATATTAAGAGCATATGTCATGCTCTGTTCTGAAGAAATCATAGCTCATTCATTCATTCATTCATTTTCTTGTCGGCTTAGTCCCTTTATTAATCCGGAGTCGCCACAGCGGAATGAACCGCCAACTTATCCAGCAAGTTTCTACGCAGCGGATGCCCTTCCAGCCGCAACCCATCTCTGGGAAACATCCACACACACATTCACACACACACTCATACAATACGGACAATTTAGCCTACCCAATTCACCTGTACCGCATGTCTTTTTACTGTGGGGGAAACTGGAGCACCCAGAGGAAACCCACGCAAAGGCAGGGAGAACATGCAAACTCCACACAGAAACACCATCTGAGCCGAGGTTCGAGCCAGCAACCCAGTGACCTTCTTGCTGTGAGGCGACAGCACTACCTACTGCGCCACTGCCTCGCCGAAATCTTAACTGTCTTTAAGTATTAATTTAGCATATTTTATGCACAATCTTGCTCTGATAATCAGATAAACGCTTTAGATTCTGCACTGGGCTCATCAGTAAAAGAGTTTCTGTGACAGCTCACACAGGCCAAAAGGCACAGCTCTTTCATGGACAGGGTTTGAAAGAATTAATCAGGTGGTATGTTGGCTCAGTGGTCAGCACTGTCGCCTCACAGCAAGAAGGTGGCAGGTTTGAGTCCTGCTGGGCATGTGGAGTTTGTATGGAGTTTGCATGTTCTCCCCGTGATGGCGTGGGTTTCCTCTGGGTGCTCCCCACAGTCCAAACACATGCGCTATAGGGGAACTGATCAACTAAATTGGCTGTATTGTATGAGTGTGTGTGAATGAGTGTGTATGGGTGTTTCCCGGTACTGGGTTTCAGCTGGAAGGGCTTTCGCTGTGTTAAACATATGCTGGAATAGTTGAACACATCTGACACCGATATTAATGCGTGGATCAATAAACAAATGTGCTTGGAGAGACGGGTAAACAATATTCATCACCCGGTGAACTCTTTTCTCCAGTTCTTTGGTAGATTCGTAAAGTGCATGAGTGGCTGTATGTCACATCATGTTCTCAGCACTGCAGACCGCTCCAGTTTTTCATCCGTGCTCTGTCCACTCTTAGCACAGCCCTTCAGAGCGGTCACATTCAGCGCTTCTGTATTAGCTCAGAAGCAGCACAGGTTCACCGAGGCTCCGGACGCTTGCTGATAAAACATTTCCACTCAACCGATTTCATTAGGTCTGTTCGGGTCACATGTCTCCACCTCTTCAGCCTGAATCTCCTGTTTATTTAAAAATAATAAAGACGACATTTTAATTATTCCCTCTAAATTTCCTGTGCTGATGCCATAATGAGATCATTTTTGTTCCCATTAGGACAGTCTAAGTATATCTTTTGAAAAGCTAAATAAGAAAGTCCTGAAGGTCTTCAGGATTACAACGTAATCGATCATTCAATCATTTTCCTTCAGCTGACTCCCTTTGTTCATCAGGGTCGCCACAGCGGAATGAACCGCCAACTTATCCAGCATATGTTTTACACAGCGGATGCCTTTCCAGCTGCAACCCAGTACTGTGAAACACCCATACACTACTGCCAATTTAGTAAATCAGTTCCCCTATAGCGCATGTGTTTGGACTGTGGGGAGAAACCGGAGCACCCAGAGCAAACCCACACCAACACCGGGAGAACATGCAAACTCCATACAGAAACGCCAACTGACCCAGCCGGGACTCGTACCAGCAACTTTCTTGCTGTGAGGTGACAGTGCTAACCACTGAGCCATCTTGCCGCCCCTAATTGATAATTATCTCAATGAAGAATTCCCTTTTTAAAACTATATCACACGTTCAGTAACTGTTCAGTATTACTGTGGAATATCTACAGTAAGCCTAACTAATCAGTGCTGCTCATTTGCACAACATCGATCGTTCATTTATCCGCACAAATGGAACAGGGGATGTTTCCTTTAGTTATGCTAAACGTGTTTAGCTACCTGGTGCATCAGTGAGTTATAAAACATCGAATTTCAACTCATGCTGTTGTACTATCTTTGGTCTCGCATCCTGTCTTTATATCGAAAAAACTTAAAACACCTCTTCATCCATCTCACAGTTGAGAGCGAGACAGCATTTGAGGCCGTGGCGGGTTTGCTTTTGTTTGATCTGTTATCACGACAGAAGGGAGAGCTCTGTGTGTCTGTGAAGTTAGGCAGGATCCAGCATCCATTTTCACCTGTCTTGGTTCTTTTGAGCACATCAAACGGGCCACGATGAGTGTTTAGGCTCCTTGTTGCGTTGTTTTGTTTTCTCTCACATTTTTATTCTGGTGTTTCACTTTGGGGATGTCAATCAGCATTCATGTTAAGACTGTGAATGGAATAGGGTATATGCCGAGCTAGTGTTCTTCCCATACTGATAAACATCCGGTGATCTGTCATTGTGAACTTTTTTCCATTTTATACGGTTCCTTATACAGCATCGATTTAGTTGCTCAAGCGTAAAACGAGACAAAAAGCCGTTTACTCGCACGTGCCCGTCAGAATCGGCAGGCTAGCGCAGAAGTAAAATAAATGCTCTTATTATAAAGACATGGCAGGGAAACGTAATGTAATGCAGTGCTTCTTGTACAATCTGAGACCCACTTTATATCGGATATCACTCAGCCAGTGGAGATTGCAGATTTTTAAAGAAAACAGACCTTAAATGCGCTGGTTTTTGCAATGGCAAATAGTTCACCGGAAGCGCTTAACCCAGGTTACTGGCACATTAAAAGTCCCATTAGCATGCTTCAGCATATACCCTGTTATCTAGAAAAGTATGTCAATGATATAATCAAAATTCTCATTAATATATGCTGAGGTGCTTGTCGAATTTATTTATTATCAATCTGCAACATGACCTTTGTGCAACAAAAACACTAGTGTTAAGACATTTGGCTAGGTAGCCCCTTTCACACAGTGATACGGGTAAATATATGGAAAATTTCCAGAACGACTTTACTAGTGAATTCAAGAAAGCGCTGTTCACACATTACGCAATTTTTCCGGAAAAGACAGTTCACACATCCATTCCAAAATATTGGTAAATTCTGACATCATTAACCAGAAATGAGCTCTAAACGGCTGCGCTTGTATTTGTAAACATTTGACTACATCACAAACTCTGTGGATGATCAGTATTGTGAAGAACTTCGATGAAAATATAGAGAAACACTTTCGCATGTTGAGATGTACATGATATGTGTGTGTGTGCTGGCGCTCACGGGCTGCTTCACGTGCACACGCATCAGAGCTTAAAGGTAAACAGACAGCGGCTTATCATAAGCATCTTATCGTTAATTATTTACAAAGTTGGCATTAAGATGAACATATAAACATGATCTGACTAACATCCAGAAGCTAAACGTGCCTGGAAAAATATTCGAAGGCTTTTATTCTCATAAACCGCGCAAGTGTGAATGCGTCTGACTGTTCTGATTGGCTAAAGTAGACGTGTAACATCAGCACGTTCTAGACGTGAACGCGCTCTTTCCGGCAATCTTCCTTCTGCGTTCACACAGCGCAGCATTCCAGCAAATTAACGGTAATGTTAAATTAAAATTAATTTTCTGGAAAGGTCTGTATGTGTAAAAGGGGCTACAAAGTCAAGAGCATTAGGGTTAAAGAAAAATTCGCACTCTCAAAAATAGAAAATTCTGCAATTAATTTCTCATCCTCATACGGTTCCAAACCCCTAAATACTTCATATTACGAACAAAATGAAGATGTTTTGAATGCAATCCAAGACCTCTCTTGTCCTCCATAAACAAAAATGGTTTATGAGCTTGACAAAGAGCAGAAGTAGATCAAACACTGTTCACTACACTGCTGACTTCTCACTCTTAAATATCATTACGGACTTTTGTAGATGTCTGACAGAAAGAGTCAAAGAGCTTAGCAGTAAGTGAAGCTGGGGATGCGGTTTGCGGAGATGTTTAATAATCCTCTATAAATATTTCGAGATATTGGTGTGTATATCATGAGATAAACTGATGTATTGTTGCAAACCTTTTATTATCTGGCTTTAGAATCAAAGAGTCCAGCCATGCATTGATTTGCAATTGATATATCTTTCTAGTCATTATTGTATGTTTGAACACCTCCATCTCTCCTCAGAAGTGGAACGTGAGTCAAACCAAGATCCGGGTGATCTCTACTCTTCTTTTCATTCTGTTTGGCTGTCTGCTCTTCGTCACGCTGCCGGCCGTTATATTCAAGCACATCGAGGGCTGGAGCGCACTGGAGTCCATCTACTTTGTCGTCATTACCTTGACAACCATTGGTTTTGGAGATTTCGTTGCAGGCGAGGCTGAGCGACGCCACCATGAAGAGAGCAGTGGTGAGCATTAAGATGGACACTCATGACTGCATGTGCTTTTCTGTGTAACTTCCATCATCATGTCTTGCTGTTCAGGAGGTTCTCAGCTGGAGTACCTGGACTACTACAAGCCCCTGGTGTGGTTTTGGATTCTGGTTGGTTTAGCCTACTTCGCTGCTGTTCTCAGTATGATTGGAGACTGGTTCCGGGTTATATCCAAGAAAACAAAAGAAGAGGTGTGTTTTCATTCAATTCATCTTTATTTTAGCAATTTGTTATGGAATTGTCAAACAGCTATGCAAGGGTTTAAAGCAGAGGTTGCCAACACTGTTCCTGGAGATCTGCCGTACTGCAGAGAACACAACTGAACCCACTAATTTGGATCTGAAGGAGCACTTGATAATTACAGACTGTCATGTTGAGCAGGGTTGAAACTCTGCAGAAAGGAAGATCTCCAGGAACTGGGTTTGGCACCTCTGCACATAACTTGAAATAAAAGCTGATTCAGAATGGGGAAGAAAGGGGATTTAAGTGACTTTGAACGTGGCAAGCATCTCTAGGGTTTACAGAGAATGCTCCGACAAAGAGGGAATATCCAGTGAGCGGTAGTTCTGTGGGCGCAAATGCCTTGTTGATCAGAGGAGAATGGCCAGACTGGTTCCAGCAACAGTAACTCAAATAAGCACTCGTTACAACCGAGCTCTGCAGAAGAGCATCTCTGAACACACAACACGGCCAACCTTGAGGCGGATGGGCTACAGCAGCAGAAGAGCAAACCGGGTGCCGCTCCTGTCAGCTAAGAACAGGAAACTGAGGCTACAATTCACACAGACTCACCAAAACTGGACAATAGAAGATTGGAGAAACGTTGCTGCTCTGATGAGTCTCCATTTCTGCTGACACATTCAGATGCTCGGCTCACAATTTGGCCTCAACAACATGAAGGCATGGATCATCCTGCCTTGTATCAGCGGTTCAGGCTGGTGGTGGTGGTGTAATGGTGTGGGGGAGATTTTCTTTGGGTCCATTAGTACCAATGGAGCATCAACGCCACAGCCTACCTGAGTATTGCTGCTGACCATGTCCATCCCTTTATGAGCACAGTGTCTCCATCTTCTGATGGCTACTTCCAGCAGGATAACGCAGCATGTCATAAAGCTCAATCATCTCAGACTGCTGAACATGACGATGAGTTCACTGTACTCAAATGGCCTCCACAGTCACCAGAGCTCAATCCAATAGAGCAGCTTTGGGATGTGGTGGAACGGGAGATTGGCATCATGGATGTGCAGCCGACAAATCTGCAGCAACTGTGTGATGCTATCATGGAGCAAAATCTCTGAGGAATATTTCCAGTAGCTTGTTGAATCTCTGCCACGGATTAAGGCAGATCCTATAGTCCAACACAGTACCAGTAAGGTGTACCTTAAAAGGTAGCCAGTGAGCGTATGTACAGTAGTGATATGTTTAAATATTAATGTCAAATGTAGACAAGTAAAAACACTCAAACCAACAGGTGTCAGTACTCCTAGCAACTGTCCAAATTCAACATTTATAACGTTGTTCTGCTCTCTGTTTCATCATTCATCAATGTCTTGCTCCAAATTAATATCCATAGTTTCATGTTATGAATTGTTTATGCTTTGATTTGTTTGTCACAGGTAGGAGAGTTTCGAGCTCATGCTGCCGAATGGACGGCTAATGTGTCCGCTGAGTTTAAAGAGACACGTCGTCGACTGAGTGTCGACATTTATGACAAATTCCAGCGCGCAACTTCAGTAAAACGCAAACTGTCCGCGGAAATAAATCTCAGCCCTCCTATCAATCAGCAGATGACCCCAGGGAAGCGTGCACGTTCGGTTAACCTTGGAGACGAGAGAGAGGCATATCCCTACACATTAGCACGAAACGGAAGTCTATTCCTCAACAGCCTCATCCCGGATTACGCTGACCATCGGGATATGACTAGAATACAGACAAAATGAACTGGAACTGACGAAATTCAAAGGACAAGCTGAGAGAGGAAGAAGCATCATGCAGAAGAGAAGAGAAGACAAAAGCAAGCAAGATTTCTATCGAGGAAATAGATGCGCTAACTACACTATTGTGTGGACAAAAAAGCATCGCTCTCTGCTGTCGGCCGTGCAGAAGGAGCAATGCATCTGAATAAATCACTTTTGTTAGCAACACATTACGAACTGTTTGTAGTTTATATAATTATAGTTACGGATTTATATACGATGGATGATTCACGATTTTTAGAAAGCTCCGAAATGCATGAATGTCTTTTCTATGATTCTGCTGCAAGACTATTATAACACAGACAACATTCATGTGACATTTACTGGATGCCAGCAGCATGTGGAAGCCAAACAGCTGCCACCGACATGAATGGGAATGCTAATGGAGGGCTCTTTTGAGGTAGAGCGTCTGCAAGCATGACTTTTGGTTTGCCAGCTTAACTGAGGCACAACCCTGTCCTCTCTGCAGGCATATACTGCAGTGGATCGAGGAAAGTCTTTGACATTAAAAGCTGGACATGTCCTAGTTGAGTTTCTTGTATTGTCCACAGCCATATAAGAGACAATCGACAGGTAAGTGAATGTATATACACTGTCAAAATGATCATCTATCAATGGAGATCAGCACATACTGTATAAGAACTCCACAGTGTCATTATTTTCAGTAGAGGACATCTTCTCTTTACGGTTTCAACCCCTAAGCTCTTCTTTAAAAGGTTGCACACAGGCTGTGTATGATCATTTCTGACCGAAAACAGTTTATAAAATAACTGGCATAATTTCACGTCAACAAATGCAACAGATAAACACTGCAGAGAGAGAGAGAGAGAGAGACTAGTTAGTTTCACTAAGCATGGACTGTCAGCTTTAACGATTCATATCAACCCGGGCTCATTGTGGAAACGTAGCCCCGCGGACGTTTCTGCGGACCGCGATTTACGTCCCGGGAGGTATGTATTCGAGCGTTTTTTTGTTTTCGCGGATCCGTGAGAGGCCGCTGTGCGCGCTTTTTCGCGTCTCGGGTGGGCGCCTCTCGGGAGCGCGCGGCGTTCGTGCCCGCGCCGTTCTCGCGCGAAAAGCCGCCGGATCGGAAAAAAAAAAAAAAAGCAAAAGCCCTCGTCTTCGATTTCGACCGCGTTTTCAGATCCCGCCGCGTTCTCGCCCTTATTTTTCGGATTCAGTTTTTCGTCTTACCTGATTTCCGGAACCTGCAGTTCCCCGGACTCGATCCCGGTCGTCGTCCACCGCGGCCGGCTCTGGCTCCTCCTCCTCGTCCGGGGCCTCCACTCCGCCAACGCAACGCTGTGAGATAGGCGGACAAACTGATTGCGTCGGGAAAGCCCTCCACTCGGAGGCGAGCCGTCGGCCGGCGAGCGCGAAGAGGAGGGGCGGAGCGGCGCCACACCGCCCTGCGGCGTTCGCTCGAAAAAAACCAAACGCGGCCTTTACGTACCTCCGGCCACGTAAATCGCGGTCTCCAGAAACGTCCGCGGGGCTACGTTTCCAGAATGAGCTTGGGTTGATTCATATTCACTTTGAATGGGTGACATCAAGCATTGCCGAATTAAATCGTGGATCTGTCGCCAGTGATGTTGCTCGCTGCAGAAGTTAGGAATTACTCAACTTTTCAAGCGCCAACAGACCCATCTGCCAATCAGAATGCTTTATGCAAATACCCCAGCTCAGACTGTACCTGATTGCGGACTAATTTCATTAGTTCATCCCCAACTTCAGACACGCCCTCTGTCAGCTGTTGACGCTGAAGCCCCGTGTGAATCAGGCATAACATGACTACATGTTGAGCTCCAAGATGTGGCCCAGAGCAAAATTGACCTGGGGTTGCAGCCTCCAACTGTTTTGGATCTGAGGGCTCTGATAGCTCTTGGTCTGGAGGCTCTGAATCAGACTGTTCTGGATCTGGAGCCTCTGACTGCTCTGAAGCCGATGGCTCTGAGTCTGAAGGCACAGACTCTGGAACTGAAGGCTCTGTGTAACTAGAGGATCTGAGTCTAAGGTGCTGGGTTTGGGTCTGGAGTCGATGCCTCTGGATCTGAAGGCTTCATTTGCTTTGCCTTTGGAAGACCTGGGTGTGGAGGTGCAGGTTCTGAGTCTGGAGGCTCTGGTTGAAGAGGTGGCGGCAGCAGCTCTTGCAGTGGCTCTGGTGGCAGCGGTTGTGACAGCAAGGGAGGGTGTTCTTTCAATGGTGGTGGCGGCTATGATGCGGGTAGTTGAGGGCAACTTGAGAGCTGGCATGAGGCTGATGAGTGGCAGGCAGGAGTACAGGTGAAGCCAAAATTAACAATGTGGTGAAGTGAGGATCAAGCTCCATCGCCAACAGGTCTTGCTGTTAGGTCTCGCCAGAAATATATTTAGGGGATTCCTCCCCCACGTTATTAATGGTGAAGCGGAAGAAAAGCGACATCCAATGGTTGTTGGAATGAGCTTCGAGGACCATAAAGGGATTAGGGTGGATTTGAGTGGTAAGCATGGAGTCTGGGATATTTGAGTTATACACAATGACCAAAAGTTTACAGATGTGATGCTTGTGGGTATTTCATCCTTGGCTATGGCTGAAAATTAACACAAGCTAACAAATGAATGAAGAGATCCTAAGGAAGAGCGTGACTCAACTGTTATCATAAATGGTGAAGGGTGCATCTTGCTGGGCATGTTTTGCCCATGGCTGAACAGCCCTAAGACAGCTGAGAAGCTGACACTTCCACTGAGATGCAGGAGACAGGGAACACCAGGAAAAACAGAGAAAGACATTCCAAGCAGGCCAGAAGGACATTGGTGTTCATGGGAGGATGTCAGGGATGTATCCTTACATCAGAAATTAAGGAGTTTCCAAATCATATCCTACAGTGGGTCAGTATTGACGTGATCAACCAATGTGTAGCCTGTTATGACCGATAAGTCACATCAAACAGTCCAGTGTATTGTTTGTTTGTTCAAATTGCACATCTAAAAAAAGAACCAAAGAGATCACATGAGAGAGTGGCATGTTGTGATGGAGCAAAACTACACCCCTCCCTTTATATTCTTATTTTTAACTCTAAACAGTGTTTGTTACAGCAGTGAAGCATCAGTTTGGCCTATTTTCAATGTTCTGCATGAAAGCTATTTCTTCTTGTGTGCTTTCTGTCTGCTTGTTAAGTCATCATGGCTATCAGATTCCCAGCAGGCACAGGACGTCGACATGATGTCAGATTGACGTACCCCAACATCGCATGTTTTTTTAGAATGAAAATCGGGTTGCCGTCAGAACCCAACGTCAAGTCAACAGCAATGTCCAAAATCCAACCTTAAATCAACCAAACATCAACGTCTCATGATGTTACAGCTTGACGTTGTGTGGATGTTATCACTACGCCTGTCAGACGTTGGATTTTGGTTGCCGTACATGACGAATAAATGTTAGTTTTTGACCCCAATATGTGACGTTGGTTTAAGATTTTAGATTTTGGCCACTTTCCAACCTAAAATCAACCAAATATCAACGTTATTTGGACGTCAAAATAACATTGTCCTTAGACACTGGCTATACATTGAATTTTAGTCACCTGATGTAGCGACTTAACCTAATAACAACATCTTATGATGTTGTGTGCCTGCTGGATTCTGTTTCTGGGTCCAAGCCACTATTTGGTTTTAGGAGAACAGAAATGTGTGAGCACTAATGATTTATAAAACATTTAAGCTGTGCTTTTAAAAGTCACTTTAAACAAAATTGAACTCTGAGTTTTCAGCAATGGAATTAGATTAGCATCTTGATTTCTCGTAGTATCGGATAGTATACGAACCACAACTCTCTGCTTATATGTGGATAGTGGGATCATGCGCAGTCTCAACATATGCAGATAAGAGCAGCTCAAACCATTGACCTTTCCCAGCGCAGACATTATGAAGGGCCACTTGAGGAGAGTAATTGGAGAACATTCTCACTTTTCCCGCATGATGTTGCTCCTTCTGATTCGCAGTTAACTGGAAACAGGTGTCATCGGTGCATGGTTAATTACTGTTTCCCATAGCAACCCTGAAGACCCAGCGGTATATAATCAACTGAAGCTGTTCTGATGTTGTCTGAGGACCTACATCATTGGAAACAGACTAAACATGTGGGGTTTTTTTGTTCTAATACACTGATATTCAATACAAAGCCAATCAAAAGCTTTGGAGTTGTAGGACTTTTTTTCTTATGCTGGCTAAGATCTTATTTATTTGTTCAAAAATGATGTAAAAAGTCACTATTGTGAAATGTTATTTTAGCTCCTGCATTCATTGCGCATGACGCTTCACAATATAATGGCAGCATGTTTAATTGCTGTGCAAAAATGTTCAGTAAAACTTTGTTTTAAGGTGTTACACCTACAGTTAAAGGCAGAATTATTACCACCCCCCCCCTTTTTTATATTTCCCAAATTATGTTTAAAAACCCTATAAAGCTGCATTTATCATATTTGATACACAAGTTTCTAAGACTTATATCATTTCAAACTGATCAATCTTTGGCTTGAAAACCTGTTTTATATAATTTGATAATTGCATTTTTGCCCTCTTGTGGATTTTCATGACAGTGCAGGCAGCGGAAGGGCCTTTTCTACCTTTACAAAATAGTTGCATTGAATTATTCGCATGCTTTTTGGCTGGAAACTATTTGCTAAATTTCAAGTTGTTTTAGTAAGAATGCAAATTTTATTGTTACTAATTTCATTAAATAAAGGTTTTCTTGACTGAAACTATGCATAATTACTTAATAATTGATTCCTTATGTTACAAATACATTTTATTAAAAATGCATGTATCAAATTTGATAAACAGGTATAAAAGGTGCTTTTATTCTTGAAGAATCATGGCACATTTTTGTAATGTAATTTATATCATACACTCAGAAATAAAGGTACATGAGCTGTCACTGGGGTGGTTCCTTTTCAAAAGGTACACATTTGTACTTGGAGGGTCCATAGTACCTCAAAAGTATATATTAGTACCTACACATTTTAAGAGGAACACTTTTGTACTTTTTAGGTATAATATGCACCCTTCAGGTATTAATATGGACCTTTCAGCTACAAATTTGTACCTTTAGAAAAGCTCCCACCCCAGTGACAGCTTGCGTACCATTATTTCAGTTCTACAATGCAAACACACATTATTTGGATGATTTTAA